GACGCGATCAAGAACATCATGGACTTTGCCGAGAGAAAAGCAGACAAGATGATGGCCAAGAGCGACGGCAACAAGCGCTCGCGTGTGAGCAATGCCAAGCTGGTCGAGGCCAACCTGGCAGGCACCCGGCGCGGCCACGAGTGCACCCTCATCCTGACCGAAGGTGACTCCGCCAAAGGTCTGGCCGTGTCTGGACGAGCCATCCTGGACCCTGACCGAATCGGTGTCTTTCCACTCCGTGGTAAGCTGCTCAACGTGCGAGACGCATCCATCGACCAGATCACCAAAAATCAAGAGATTCAGAACATCAAGCAGTTCCTGGGTCTCAAGCACAAGCAGGTGTACACGGACACGAAGAGCCTTCGCTACGGCCACCTGATGATCATGGCCGATCAGGATCATGACGGTAGTCATATCAAGGGTCTTCTCATCAACTTTCTTCAAGTGCAGTTCCCCTCGCTGCTTCAGATTCCAGACTTCTTCCGAGAATTCATCACGCCCATTGTCAAGGTCTGGCAGGGCCCCAACCCCAAGAAGCCCCAGAGACTCAAGTCCTTCTTCACTCAGCCTCAGTACGAAGAATGGAAGCAAGAGCGCGGCAGTGAGATCTCGAGATGGCATTACAAGTACTTGAAGGGTCTGGGCAGTAGCAGCAACGAAGATGCCCAGGTGTACTTCACAAACCTCGACGAGCACTTGAAGGAGTTTAGTGTCATGAAGCCAGAAGAAGCGGAAATGTTTGACCTGGCCTTTTCAAAGAAGAAGGCCGACGCGAGAAAGGAATGGCTGGGCAACTTTGTTCCCGGCACCTATCTTGACCACTCTTCCAAGGTCATCACGTACAGCGACTTTGTGAACAAGGAGCTCATCCTCTTCAGCATGGCGGATAACATAAGATCCATCCCGTCCATGATTGACGGACTCAAGCCTGGTCAGCGAAAGGTGCTGTACGCATGTTTCAAGCGAAACGTGGTCAAGGACGAAAAGGTTGTGGAGCTGGCTGGTTACGTCTCCGGACTGACTGCTTACCACCACGGTGAAGCCTCTCTGCAGCAGACCATCATTGGCCTGGCTCAAGACTTTGTGGGATCGAACAACATCAACGTGCTGGAGCCTAGCGGTAACTTTGGTTCTCGACTTGCCGGTGGCTCCGACGCCGCCAGCCCTCGTTACACCTTTACCCGCCTGTCCCCGTTTGCCCGCTCCATCTTTTCGTCGCTCGACGATCCCAACCTGAAGCACCAGTTCGAGGATGGAAAGCAGATTGAGCCCGAGGTGTATGCCCCCATCCTGCCCATGGTTCTCATCAATGGCGCCGACGGTATCGGCACGGGTTGGAGCACTTCCATCCCCAACTATCACCCGCTCGAGGTTGTCAAGAATTTGAAGCGACGAATGGGTCGCCTGGAGGATGGCGATGATGAAGAAAAGCCATTTGAGACAATGACTCCGTGGTTCCGTGGCTGGAAGGGCACGCCGGAAGCTGCTGGTCCTGACCGATACAAGTTCAATGGTATTGCATACCAGAATGAACAGAACCCTAATGAAGTGGTCATTACCGAGCTTCCGATCCGCGTCTGGACTGATGACTTCAAGGCTCGCCTTGAGAAGATCATCAGCGGCGTGGACGGCCCCAGCTGGATCAAGGACTACAAGGAGTTCAACGACCACAAGACGGTCCACTTTGAGATTCAAGTGGACGAGAAGCACATGCCCAAGGTGCTCGAAGAAGGTCTGCTTGAGCGGTTCAAGCTGACCAAGCAGGTGGCCACGTCGAACCTGGTCGCTTTCAATACTAACGGGCAGATTCGCAAATACGAAAAGGTCGAGGATATTTTGGAAGAGTACTACGTCTACCGACTGGAGATGTACTTGAAGCGAAAGGTAGGGGGGAATATCACGTCCTCCGCTGCATGCGAGAGTATTCTGCTAACAAAAACCACTTGCAGAACCACTGGCTTGCCGTCTACGATGCCGATCACCGGAAGTTGAAGAACCAGGCGCGTTTCATCCAAGAGATTATCGACGGAGATTTGATCGTCGGCAAGAAGAGGAAGGATGTCCTCGTGAAGGAGCTTCGGGATCGCAAATACGAGGCATTCCCTCCCGTCAAGAATGCCAACACAAAGAAGTCCGAGGAAGAGGAAGAGGACGACGAAGAGGGTGAAGAGAGCGCTCGTGACTACGACTACCTTCTCTCGGTAAGTTTGACCCTTGAATTCCGGCAGCTTTTACCGAATGCGACGAAATCTAACGTCTCTTGTAGATGCCCATTTGGTCCTTGACGGCAGAACGTCTTGAGAAGCTGAAAGATGCTATTCGGAGGAAGAAGGCCGAGTATGACGAGCTCGAGGCCAAGAGCGAAAAGGACCTTTGGTGCGAAGATCTTGCCGCCTTCGAGGCCGAATGGGACAAGTACCTTGCCCTCAGCGCTGAAATTCAGACCAACATTCGTCGCATGGGCCGCCGAGTATCCAAGAAGATAGGGGCTGGCGGTGGCCGCGGTAAGAAGGCCAAGGCGGACGACGATTACGAGCCAGAGAAGAAGGGTCGCAAGAAGGCGGCTCCAGCGCCCAAGCCAGAGACCAAGTCTGCTCAGAGGTTTGCCGAGATGTTCAGTTCCAAGCCGAAGCCCAAGAAGGAATCGCAGACAGAGGTCGTCGAGTTGGATGACTTTTCAGACGATGATTTCGCAGCGCTTAGCAGAAGCAAGCCGGCCGCTGCTAAGGCGTCTGGATCGCAGGCGACTTCGAAGCCGATTGCTCAGTCGCAGTCGGAGGAGTCAGAGGTGGTACCCGCTCGCAGCAAGCGCGCCGCAGCCTCCAAGGCGAGAACCTTGATCGACGTCGACTCGGAAAGCGACGAATTCGACTTTGATGATGAGATGATTGACGTTGGCCCGAAGGCGTCTGGATCGCGGGCCACTTCGAAGCCTCAGGCCCAGTCGGAGGAGTCAGAGGAAGAGCCAAAGGCGGCGCCCGCCCGCAACAAGCGAGCCGCAGCCTCCAAGGCTAGGGCTTTGATCGACGCCGACTCGGAAGCTGATGACTTTGACTTTGACGATGAAATGCTTGACGCTGGTGCCAAGGCGTCTGAATCGCGGGCGACTTCAAAGCCAGTATCGCAGTCGCAGTCGGAGGAGCCAGAGGTGGCGCCCGCTCGCAGCAAGAAAGCTGTAGCCTCCAAGGCCAGGACCTTGATCGGCGCCGTCCCGGAGGATGACGACTTTGAATGGGACGATGAGCCAGAGGTGATGCCCGCTCGCAACAAGCGAGCCGCAGCCTCCAAGGCCAAGACCTTGATCGAAGTCGACTCGAGCAGTGAGTTAACTGACGTTGAGATGCTTGACGTTGGTGCCAAGGCGTCTGGATCGCGGGCGACCTCTAAACAGATCTCGGAGGAGCCAGAGGCGGCGCCCGCTCGCAGCAAGCGAGCCGCAGCCTCCAAGGCCAAGACCTTGTTTGACGCCGACTCGGACAGTGACGATGACAGCGACAAGATTCTCGGAAAGGGTAAAGCAAAGGCATCTGGATCGCGGTTGGTTTCGAAGCCAGTTTTCAAGCCGCAGTCGGAGGAGCCCGAGGTGGTGCCCGGCCGCAACAGACGAGCCGCAGCCTCCAAGGCCAGGACCTTGTTCGACGCCGACTCGGACAGTGATGAAGACGACGACGACAAGATGCTTGGCGACGTTGGTGCACTGGTCAAGGGGATTGGCAAGCCGTCTGGAGAAGCCAGCGGCCGACTGAGCCTGCACACGATGAGCCGGCCGGATTCGAGCCACGGCAACACGAGTACCGGGACTCTCTCGAAGCCCAGAGCCAAATCAGCCAAGGCCTTTGATCTCGAGAGCCCCGACGAAACCAACTACGAGATGCTGGCCAAGCCGTCGCCCTACAAGCCCAAGAACGTCGATGAAGAGTCGGACGATGACGCGATTTTGGGCACTTCATCAAAGGCCGCCAAGTCGAAGCCTGCCGCCGAGGCTCCGGAGGAGGAGAACTTGCTTGCGGCCAGGAGGGTTCGCAGGCCAAAGAAGCCCAAGGTGGCGGGCGCGGGCAAGGTCAAGGCGTTGGTCAAGGATGCGCCCACCGTCGCCACCCTGTCGCCCATTGCATTGCGATATGCGGCCAAGAAGGCGGTTATCGACAAGGAACGTGCCGAGAGGGCGGCTGCTCTGAAAGCTGAGGGTGGCCCGGCGCGGGCAAGGCCCGGACGGGCTGCGGCCGCGAACAGAAAGGTCGTTATTGACGGTGACGATGAAGAAGAAGAAGAAGAGGACGACCCATGGAGAGCGCCATGGTTAGACGACGAGTAGAGCAAAGGCACTACCTCGTAGTGTTGCCATGTTGAGAGGTCATTATCGATTTCGATTTCGATTTTTTTTTTTTTTTTTGGAGGGGGGGGGAGGGAACTGGATTTGTCTGGTACATAGGGTTCTTCGACATACGCTGTCGTACCTAGTCAGGTTGGCCTTGGTTTCGGATGGAGGATGGCAGGTCTGGTTTCCATTTGCTCACTTTTATCTTTTTGTTGTTTGTACGAGTCTATTTGTACGGATCATCTTTGTACGGAAACCCGTTGTACAGAATACCTTTTCGCTTGACGAATGAACGAAATGCAATGATTTTTTTTGGTGCCTGGCTTTCTAGTATGAGATGCGTCTAACACATGTTTTGTCTCTGAACTCTTGTACCAATGGAAGTTGTTGAGTGTCGTCTGTCTTGGTGATTTGTCTCTATTTGTATGAGTGGGTGCTATCGATAAGAGCTTTCTTTGCTTCTCTGGAGGGGCAACCCAGAGCTTCCACCATTGTTCTTGCTCTTTCCAAGCTCGCCCCTCCAGACCTTTTAATCCTTCTTCTCAACCAGAACCTCACATACAACCAACCGTTACAGGACAGCCTCATTATCTACCCTTCAAAGACACCAAACCAGAGACACTGCTGCACTGCACTGCAATTCGACACGGCAGACGACATACAATTCTCAGTCCCGCCCATCATGGCCTCGTCCGACGAGCCGCAGTCGCTGCGCGCCCTCTTCGAAGCCGCCGAGGCAAAGCGTCAAGAAGTCAACGAAGCACCCAGCGCCACGTCTCCGAAATACGCAGAAGACCTCGCCGCAGCACTGAAGCTGTACGCACAAGCCCTCGACCAAATCTCCGCCCTGTCGCTCTTCTCCGCCAACGAGGGCGTGGAGGACATTGCGACGTCTTCGCTGCCGTACCTGCTGGTGGATTTCTACATTGGCGAGCTCGTCCAGCGAACGCCGCATCTTGCGCCGAAAGAGCGGCTGCAGGTGCTCGACCAGGCGCGATCCGCATATGAGCGGTTCCTCAGCCTGGCGGACGGATACGGCCTGCTGACGGCGCCGTACGACAAGCTGCTGGAGCGGTACCGCGACGAGGGGGAAGCCTTTGCGGTGGTGGCGGCGACGGGCGCGGACATGGCGGCCAAGCGCGAGGGCAAGATTGCAAACTTCAAGGCGGAGAAGGCGCTCAAGGACAAGATGGCGGCGCTGAGGCGCAACCCGCGGTACCTGGAGCACGGGGACGAGGAGCTGGTGCGCGAGCTGCACCTGACGAGCATCCGGTTCGCGATACACAGCGCGTTCCAGGCGCTCGACTCGCTGAACCGCGAGGTACCGCTGCTGCGGTCCGCGCCGTCGCCGAGTGCTGCGGCCACTTCCAAGGGCGAGGATCCTGCGGACACGTCGTTTCGGCTGGATCAGCCGTTTGATGGGTTTCGTCCGGGAACGGGCGGTCCGTTGCTTTCGACAAAGGGGAAGCCTCTGCAGCCTTTTACGCTGATTGGGTCAAGGGCGGATCTCGCAAAGGGGGTGTTTCGGCCTGGTCACAATCTGCCTACCATGTCGATTGAGGAGTATCTCGAGGAGGAGAAGCGGAGGGGGGGCATCATTGAGGGCGGCGGCACGGAGCCTCCGAGGAAGGTGGTGGATGAGGACGACATGGAGGCTGTTGATCGGGAGACGTACAAGGCGAGGGCGTGGGACGACTTTACGGATGACAATCGGAAGGGGTCGGGAAATACGCTCAATATGGGGTGATTGGGGAGTTTTTTCTTTTTCAGGTCTGGGAATTTGGGATCTCGTGTGGTTCTTTTTGTTTGGTTTTGTGCAATTGGGTGAGGCGAAGCGAGTCATTTGTTTGGATTTAGAATATGAAAACGAGTAAAGAACCAGCTAATCATTCGGTATATATATATATACATATATAAAAGACGAGGCTCTCGACTACTGCCTACATTTCCACGGCGTACTGAAACATGTGTACTGATGTCCAAGCAATCCTCCGTCTCGAGATCAAACAGCTCTCATCCTGCTTCTCCATGGAGTCTGCTCCCTCTCCCCGACCACCAAACCCACCGAAGAAGCAGCCCACCTGCCTCTCCCTACATTGAAGCACAAACAAACAAGCAGAGAGAGGTAAAGAAGAACAACCAGCGTCTCCCCTTGTTCTTCAAACTACGCACAACACACACACACAGAGGCAGATTCTTCTCCCAAACCAACCACCAACTATTCAGAGACATCGTAAGGAGAGACTGGCTGGCCATTCCACAAAAGCACCCCGGACGACGCTCTCACTGGGCCATTTCAATCGGTAGGTATCTAGTAGGTCGCTGCGGGCGGTGCGTAAGTTGGTACCTATAGTATGTAGGTTCATACAAAGGTCAGTGAACGGACATCATCATCAACGCAAAGCTGGTGGTGACTTGCGCTGACCAGGGGATTCAAATTCCCCTCTCGTTCAGAAGAAGCAATAAAATGCAATGCTCTATCCCCAGCGCAACCACGACACACCAGCTCAACGGAATCTTCCGCCCGAAAAAGGGAGTATAATAATGAGTACTCGCTGGCTCATGCAGTTGCAGCGCTCGTGAGACATTCAAAGGACCATGGCCCGGCTATTGTTTTGTTTTCCTTTCTTCAAAGAGAAACATCGCAAGGGGGCGGCTGGCCACGTCCCAGATGACCGCTACTCCCACGCGAAGTTCCGGCATCGTTCGCGGACGCAACGCGCAAGATAGAGTCTTTTTCTGCAAGATGAATCGCCCACGTCGTGCCGGAACCTCAAGATATTCTTTTCCCTTTCGCGCCCAATATCAATGACTGTCAGCCAAGCTCTTCACTGCTGTCACAGCAACAACATACTCTCGGAGGAACAAGCAGCCTCAGACAAGGCTCTCTCCTTGCACACTGCGCCCGCGGCAACGAACGTGAAGAGATCGCGTCACCGAGAGACAGTGTAACCCAAACACAGCAGCCAGTACTTCGTTGGAGGGAAGGAAACCCATGAGCAAACCCCGGTGAAGGGGGGAAAACGCGATGTGCTGCTTTGTGGAGAGAGATGGGAACCTGCTAACGAGGTAGGTCTGAAAGAGAGACTCTTGACCACTAACCGTGTGAGCTGAGTGATAATCGCGTTCGAGATCCCATTCGAGTAGAAGTTGGTTTTTTTTTGTGTGGTAGAGGGAGAAGGGGGAGACAAGACGTAGGGATGGGGGGGAATGGCGATGCCTTATATATCTCTGGGTGCTCATACTTTCTGTCTGCTTTGCTAATGTTGGGGCTTCTTTGTTGAGAGGGTTCCAGTGATACTTTGTTGAATCCAGTCAAAATGTCGCCGAGAGCTGTGGCAGAGTTAAAAGGTTTGAATCGAGGTGCATCTCGGTGGCGCGGAGTAGAACGCCATTTTGCGGTGACTCTGCAAGATATGAAGTATTGCGGAACCTTTCAGCATGATCGATAAGCCGGTGCCTTTAAAAGAAAACATCCCAACAACTGTAATTATCCCTCAGGCAAAGTCTCCAGCAAGTGTCATGGCTGATTTGTCTCCTTGTTGACTCTGCCTGGACCAGAGGGTACGCGATGTGGTCAATGGCCATGAACTGGGCAGAGTAGCCTTGGAGATGAAACCAGTTTGCCGAATATCAAATTCACAGTGTCATGCACAGCCATCAGATTTGTGTCTTCATGTCGTCTGAGAGTAAGACAACTTCAACTCCACAATCCTTGCTCATGTTGCGAGTCTGCGGTGTTGAGCTTTGCATACGTATAGTAGTCATGATCCTCGTCTCACATCCAATCAGCCTGGTAAACAGAGTAGCATCCAACAGCACAGCCCAATTTCCCCATATCTTGACAATATTGAAAGAATGACAACCAAAACCGCATGCCAAAATCGTCAGAAGCTTGCCAGAATGCCACTCATCACAGACTCGAAATTGCTCGCTCTCATTCATCAAAACTCATGTCTTCATCCTCATCCAAGTCATCAGCACCAGTTTCCATAGCACTTCCCGAAATCATGACCCTATCTGTCGTGTCCGACGCCGTATCGTCATCAGAGTCCACAGATTCCACCAGCATGTCCACCGCGTGACCCATGTCCTGATGCTCGGCTGGCACCGCGAATCGTGCCTCCTGGTAAGACTCGGACCCATCCACATCAAAGGACTCGGATGCGATGGAAACGTCGTCGGCAATGACGTGATTGGGCGCATACACTGTCGATGCCCCGTCCTGCACGTCCACAGATCCCACAACCGTGCTTCCCCTGACGGTGCTCCCTCTGACGTTGAAAGTAGAGAAGCCGTCAACCAACGATCCAGAGGTACTGGATGCCGACGGAATCGTAATGCCGGTATGGTAGGCAGGCCCGGGCCCGCTCGGCCCCCAGTAGGCAGGAGGAAGCTCTTCCTGGAAGACGCCCCCTGTGCCATCGTTGCAACCACCAGCCCAGAGAGGGAGAAACTTCATCTCGTTATTATTCAGCGTGAGCAGCAGGTGGCGCGTCATGTTCAGCGCAGGCTCAATGTCATATCGCAGCCACAAGTTGATGTACGGCGATACGGCATCGTAAATCTGTCTGTTGAGAGCTTCCAAGTCAACGATCGGGTTCTTGACGCGGAGAGGCCCCTCCCCCGGATCCATGAACATCGCCCAAGACGGCTGGCTTGCCATCTCGGGGTTTGCTGTGACGGCTCGCTGGACGTCATCCACCGTAAGGTCCATGTTTGATTTGATCGAAACGGGCGATTCCTGGTAGGCCATGGCTATCCATTTGGACTGGCTAGGGTCCGAGTGCCACATCTCGCTCATCTGTTGGTATACAAACGGGCACAGGAACTTTTGGTGGATATTTAGCTTGGGCAAGATGTCCTCGAGCAGTTTGAAGTCCTCCGGCAACACATATGTAGCTCGGTCTTCATCCATGGAAACAAGCGCCTGCTTCCCCTCCGTAGTCGCTGCGACCGAAAGCCGGAAAAAGGCGGTCGAGATGCTACGGCGCATTGCCATCAGCAGCGAGGACAGAGACTTTGAAGCCTTGGTGCTCGCTTCATCGGATTGCTGCTGGAGCAATGCCTCCAGTTTCCGTAGTTTGGCCCATTCATCAACCATCCAATTGTCGAGAGTCTCCCGGTCGCGGAATATGCCTGGTATCACTGACACTCTTTCGATAAGGGCCCGAGCAGCGTGCTGGACAATGTTGTGCAGCTCATCATCCAGGTTGCCCAGTCTTCTGCCAAAGACGGTGACCCAATCAAGATCGGGCTTCGACTCGCCAGGGCTCGAACCGCCAGGGGGCGCCTTGGTGGCGGCCTCCTTGAGGGCCAGCTCATTGACGAGGATTCGAAAAGCGCATTGCGTGACCTGCACCAGCTCCAGGTCGAACCCAATCTGCAGTGCCTCTTCTGGAAGGACCTCGATAAACTTTGTGTTATCGGAAAACATGATCCATTGAGCAACTCGATCTCGGATGATGGATGTGCAGTCGAATATCTTAGCCACCGCAACAAGTGTCCAGACACGATTCGCCGAGTCGAGCATGATGTCTTGTCCCTCGATCATCATCAGGAGGCGGATGATGCTATTGCAGTGGCGTATGGGGCAGTAGTCGGGAATGTTGCGGTAATCCGGTATCTCGTACGGCTGGTTGATCCCATGCTCCTTCTTGGAGAGGAGGTCTTGAGGCGTAGGAGCGGTGACGACGGTGTCGTCGGTATTACCACCTGGCTTTTTGTTGTCGAAGAGCGTCGCTCCTCCGTTGACGCTTCGCTCTCCATCCTGTTCCTGTCCCGTTCCGTCTTGTCTCGGGGCTCCCCAGCCTGGAATGTGCTGTCGACCACAGGAGCAAACATCGTCGTGCCCAGATACCAGCCAGTTGGTGACCTTGTGAAGACCGCTGGCGGCCCACCACTTGATTATCCCGGGGGTGAGAGACAGCTGCGTCATCTGTGAGACGAGGTCATCGCCCTCGGATGGCGGCGTCAAGTCGAGAACGTACTTGACGCCTTCCGGAAGATCCTTTGTCAGCTTCTTCCGTCGCTTGATGCGGAACTGGTACGTCGGGCTCAGCATCTCGGCAAACTTGGCAGAGCCGGTTGCGAGCAACTTTTGCGAGTGCACGCGCAGTTTCTGTGACGAGTAAGGCACCCCGTAGCAGTCGGTTTGCCTCGACCGGCGGCGGGATAAATCGGGGAAGTCGACGAAGACGAGCGTGTCGCCAGTGTTGAGTTCCTGCTCAACGACTCGCAACTTGCATGCCTCGGCAAATCGAGACGACTGAATCTCGTCTTCGGACATGAGGCCCTGCATGACCTTGTCCCACTGGGACTTGTTCAAGAAGTCGGACGAATCGAACACTATCTTTACCGAACTCGTCGCCTCTGGCTGGCGATCTCTAACAAAGTCCTCGCTTGCTTGCCGGAGTATGGAGTCGTAGTCACTATTAGTGAGAGGGTCTCCGTTCGCTTGCCGAAGTATGGAGTGAAAGTCGTTGTCAGTGAGAGGGGGGAAAGCCTCGCCAGACGGCTCGTCGGCACTGTCACCAGCTTGACCGTCCACTATCTGTGGAACAATCAGATCGGACGCCCTTTGGGTGCTCGAGTACGGCCACGGCTCGTTGAATCGACTGTCCATATTGCCGCGTCTTGCTACTCAGTGGTGAACGAATAGCAAAAATGTCAATGTTGTGGCCCGAAGGGAGTTTGTTGGAGGTATGACCCGGCGTAGAGAGTAAGTAGCACAATAAGAAAGGTATATATATATATATATGAAGAGCGATGACTTTCAGAGGTCAACTATCACACTTGCATACCTCGTCCGCTGTGCAGACGACGAACGGGCGACTAGTGGCTCAGATCAAGCGAGGCTCTTGAAGATGTTGATAGAAAGTCTTGGGTATGCAAGGGGGGAGTTGTGCCACTTTCTGGAAAGGTGACGGTATGTGTCCGAAGAGAAGAGGGCGAAGCAAAAGTATGCGAATGCGTCGATAGCTGGCGAACTGGCTGTTGAAGCTGATAAGACAAGCCCAAGCAAATAACGGCAATAAGTCGATACAAGAGCTGCGCTGATCAAAAGGCCACAGACTCCAAGGCTGCTGTTGCAAAGAGGACGATGAAAGTGCGATGCAAAATGAAGAGTCAAAACTGGTAGACGATGGTAAAAGATGGAGGATGACGAGGCAGCGAACTCGAGCAGCTACAGAGCACACATGCGCCTTCCTTTTAGCTTCCGACAAAGGCAAGGCAAGGCAAGGTAAGGTATTCAAGGTTAAGGCCAGCAGGTCCAGGTCAGGTATCTGTAGAGCTGCTGCTAACCCGCTTTACCTCGAGTTACACAGCTTGGCCAAAGGTTAATTATGAGAGTCCACGTAACTGGCGTTAGTAGCACAAACTGCTGCTGAGAAAGGAAGAGTTAAGGCAATGCCAGATTACTGACAGGACTCTGGCTGAACATGTCGCGTTTGTCCCTTTTGGTTCGTGTGACTCGGCTGCCTCGTCTGCCTATCAGATGTGCGGGACTGGCAGGCCGCGACCGACGTCCTCTTTTTATAGAGCGAGATGGCAGGCTGGGTACCTACCGCAGTATGTGGCAGGTAGGTACAAATTTGACACATCGGCTACCTCTGCAATACGAGTGAGCTACAAGCGGCAGAGCCTTGTGACTTGTCGGCGCTGCTTGACGGTGGGGTGGCGGAAGCATCATTCGGCCATTTGAAGCACGGAAACGAGCCAAGGCTGGCCGGAAGTGGACGAGGGGCAGATGTACCGTTGAGTATCGTGGGTTGCTCGGGCTGTATCTTGCTGTTGAAGCCTCGGTATGTCTTAGCAGGCAGAAGGGTGCCTTTCGAGGTTGCGGTGGTTGCCTAACCGTTGGGTTGCAGCTTGACCCTGTGGTGAGCCGCACTACAGTGTCTAAATATGACTGCTTGTCTGCCTGTTTGCGTTGTCCGAAAGACTCTATATAAAGAGAGAAGCCGTTAATGTTACCCTCGAATTGGTGGCGATGCTTGAATTCTTCTTGCAGTCCTGGACTTGCGGTCCACAATAGTGGCAATGCTTGAAAGAGAACTGAAAGTGTACTGATGATGTTTCTTGCCGATCTTCTCCCACAATGATTTAGAGAAGCCTGTCAAACACGCCTTATTGTTTCAGAAGGATTGGTGATGGTTGGTCTGACACACAAGTCCAAACACAGTAAGAGCAAAAAGAGACAAAAAGGTAGCAAAAAAACAAAAGAAATGGGATATCTCCTCCGGGAAGGCTCGAACTTCCAACCTCCTGATTAACAGTCAGACGCGCTAGCCAATTGCGCCACAGAGGAAATTGCTTTGATAGGCGGGATTTTACTAGGCATTATTAACTATGCTGCTCCATTGGCAGGCTGGTTGGGACATGGAGACCTATTCAGAGTTACGGGAACTTGTAAAGATGGCTGGCTGTCTTTGTTGAATTGAGGGTTGCCCGTCAAGCCTGATCAATAAGGCGTTATGGAAGTCTCCGTGACTCTGTACTGAAAGACAGCTGGTCTTGGGAGCGTACAATAGAAGCCACTTCGAGAGAAGCCTCTTTTACTCACAACCTACATAGCTCGTCTCGGACACTGCTGTTTCGCGAGCAAGCTTCCTCCCGCTGTCCGTCAGTTATGGACTCGCCCTGTGTATATTTGATCATTGCATCAGAGTCTTGATGAGCATTGAGGTCAAGTGCAGCAGAGTTCCTCTCATTCTTGTATCCCCTTCTGTCGAGGTTCACCCGAGTTACAGATGCTACATGCGGAGGCTGTTCTAAGTTTACGCCATGGACCAGTTTGGTCTTGTCTCGGTTATATTGGGTCCTTCAAGAGAACTTTTTATAAGCAACTACATGTACCTAAGGTATGTGATTCTTTTTTTTTTTTCAGGCTTCAAGTGATCAACTTCAAAATCCGCATCGAGTCTAGGCTCGCCGAATTATGGCAGCGTGGCGGCATCTCAAACGACGTGAGGTTCGCTTTGGCTTGCAAGCTGACAGAATGATTGGCTGAACTGTGACTGCAGTTGTTTATTTCAGCAAACTTCGAGTGAAGCCAAGCCAATAGCAGCTCAAAACTGATTGAGGCATTGCAGAGGCTTGGAAAACGCATTGTCGAGGCTGGATCGCCTTTGGCTAAGCCTACACCTCGAACTCGTAAAGGGCCGGTGCCATTTTTCATTCACTTTGTTTGGAGTGAGGCCTCTCGTGATGAGAAAAAGCCCTGGCCATCAAATGATGATGGTAGTTCCTCGCCATCACATGCCCGAAACTTCATAGTGCGCTCCGTAATTAAGCCGTCTGAGCATCATTTGTCGGCTTCTTGATTGCAGTACTCTGCAACCCAAGTCCAGTATCCGTACACCAAGACTTTGGCTTATACAAAGCAGGAAAATACAGGGGCCGCGGAATGGATTCCCAGACGGCCAAGTCCGCGTGTTGAAGCTAGAACCCCCCCTGCCCCTGCTCCCGAGAACCCATTCAATCTTTTTTTTCCAATTTCTTCCCGTTGACACAGAAGTCAAATGGAAGGCTTGGAAGCAATTGGGCCATGGGTACGAATCGTTCCATGCTCGTCTATTCGGCACACTGGTCGTAACCACGCGGGCGCTAAGAGGCTCATCGGCCCCATCACCAATTGCTCTGTGTGACGCGGCCGGCGCAAGAAACAGCTACATACACTGTTTGCTGGGCCTCCGTCTTCCTTCTTATCTTGTCTCTCTCGCTCCCTCCAGCCGATCTGAAACGACGGGCGTCGATATCCGGCGTAACAGTAGCAAACACACGTGCTGTTCGGTCGGGTCGCTCAACAGCCGACAATCAGGGCAAACAGGAGGCAAATCAGGCCAAACCGATTGCATCTCCGGGCTCACGCCCATGACAATGGAATGGTCATACCTTGGCTTGACGCTACCTGTACCTGCGCGAGTACGAGGACGCTGTGGCGCATCCAGACCCAACCGAAGGGTGCCTGCGTTGCAGGGAGGCCAGAAGAGCTAAGCTCGGTGAACCCCAGCTTACGCTAATGTTAGTCTCGAGAGCTATCATGGCACCCTGGACGCTGCAGTTTGATCGTCCCTGTCTCTTGACGTCGTGGAGCGCCGGCCATCTCGATCTCGCGGTGGTGAAAGGATTCCTTGCTTCATTTGGAGAAGATGGAGACTGGGTGAAACCCTCGGACAGTCGCCATACAGGCGCAGAGAGTATGGCAGTAATTGCTGGTCCTGCTGGTACAACCCAGCTGCTGAAGTGAGAGGCATTGGTGAGGCACGTCCGCGTGTCCATCTCCCGGCTATCATCGCCTCCGACCGCTTCCTCCGGAGAAACAGTTCCTGTCAAATGCGGAGGACCTGTCAATATGTTGGTGGCTACCGGACAACGAAACCTTGGGCTCATTCTTTATCAGCTTATCTATCAATCATCTTTGTCTGCTCTACTCAGCAGCACAAAGGCTGCATCAGAGGCTTCAAGCTTCGTTCCAAGTGGAGAAGCTGCACCTATTCCCGTCCGGCTGGAGATTTGGGACAGCAGCTGAGTAGTAGCCTTGAAAGAAGCCCTTGATACAAGACGCCCTCCCAGTGCCTTGGAACCGGGTGCCGGGGGAGGTGTCAAGGTTTCTTGGTCACAAGAGCTCGGTCGGGATGTCTGCCGCCTCTCGCTCGCTGTCGCTCCCGTCAAGTTCCCATCAGCCGTGGCCGTGTTGACAAGTCTTACCAAAGCCCGGACCAGTCAAAGCCAGCGTCAGTATGTAATAGTGTGTCGCCACCTGGCCAACATCAAGGTTGGTGCTGGTGGTATGTAGTGGTGGCAGCTATGGTGGTGTAGGTAGCGTATCATCGATGGCTAAAGCGCCCTGATGGATGGATGGTGATGGCGCTCGTCCATAGCGGTGGTGAGTAGCAGAGGAAGCGGGGGAAAGGCGATCCAGTTCGATTCGATTCTTTCATCGTCAGACCAAAGGCGCCGGCCAAGCAGCGACACATGCGAGCAAATCACCCAGCCAAAAGCCAATTCGACACGAATGCTTCGTCGGTGCTCCTCTTTCGTACGAGGCTTTGGGCGTGCATCTCGGCCCCCGCAATCGTCGCCAAAGGGACCAAAGGCGAGCCACAGCCGCATTGTTTGCAGCAAAGCCGTACATCTCGCATCTCGACCTCCTCCCTGCGTTCGATGCCGCTGCTTGTCCCCCTTGCCTGCCACTCTGCATGCCGGCGTCACGCTATGACGAGTGGCGCTGGGCCGGCAGATGGCGCTGGGGAGGGGAGGGACGCTGTTGGATGGCGGACGCTGTGACTGGCGCTCGTGCGGTCTGTGAATTGTGTCACGATCTGCACGTCTGCAAGTCGGGCTCTGTTGCCAGCCAGTCCCAACGGGGTGATTCACGGCTGTGCGGTGCAGTTATCTCCAACATACCTCATCACGGATCCTGCTGATGCACTCGTATCAACATATAAGCAGCCGCTGGCTGGCCAATGGCTCACGCCGGGCGGCAATGCGTCGATCACACGTCAAACGAGAGCTGGCCAATACAGTATCCGGACTCTGGTCGCGTGTGTGTGTTGCATCTCGTCCCCCCCAGCGTGTTCGCGCCATGAGACAAGTTGGAGGAGATGCCACTGGCCTCGTCCGGCCGCCTCGGAAGCCCAAGCCCAGCCCGTCTGATTGGCGCCCAAGGGCCTGCCCAGCACCACTGCAGGCCACCCAACAGCGCTAGCGGCGCTGCTAATTAGGGGCCCCCCAGCACTGCTCGACCGCTATCCGGGCTGCTCAGGTGACGGGACCCCCGCGGGCTCTTGCCGGGGTGATGCACAGCGACCCTCGCCCCCCCCATGTCAGACCCTGGAGCGCTGGAGCCATCAGCTACCTACCTTAGATTGAGTGTCGCGGACCTCTATAAAGTGTTTCTGCCCTCGTGCTCCGTCCGGCTAGCACGAGTTGAGTCCATCCATACGACCTCCCGGCAAACCCCTGGCTTCCTCTCTCCTTCTTCTGCAGCCTCAATTCTGTGATCCTCTGCTCTGACAATTTTACCTGCCGTTTGTCCTGGTGGGGGCTTGAAACACTATTGCTAATATTGTGGCTCCTGTTCATGCCACTCCCCCTGCTGCTCGTGCAGAACAACTCCGTCCTCGCCTTTATATCACCCGCGGCTGCTCCTGGTTGAGCAGAATCCCATCCTCCGCCTATTCAACGCTGCATATTACGGTCTATACCCGCCTCTCCATACGAGGGATACCGTCACGAGACATTCCAGAGTTGAGTCTCCATCTCCTCACCACAAGCGAGCGATCGACGCACGGGACCTCGGCACCCCCTTGCTCCCTCGACTCTCTTCGCTTCTTCTAAAGGGCTTGAATCTCCCGAACCCTCCGTTCTCCAGCTTCACCGCAACGCCTTGAACTCCAAACTCTGCCAGATTGTCGCCATGGCTACTACCGACTCGTTCCACAACATCAAGATGACCGTCATTCCCCCACAAGAGCACGATGGTTCTCGAGGGCGCACGCGTGACCGCACCATGCCCATTTCCAACTCCAAAAACTTGCGTCCCGACGAATCCAGCACACTGAGAGGCCGCTCTCGTCGACGCTCAGTCTCGCCCTTCAGCCTCGCTTCTCGGGGGTCTTCCCCTGTCAAGCCTTCTGCCAACAGACTGATGCTGCACAACCGTTTGCGAGAGAAGCGCCGCGAGCACTGCCCTTCTCGAATTGCATCGCCCGCCAACTCGGAAGTCCTACACAACACACAGACACGCATGAGGAGCCGAAGCCGCGGGCCTCGGAGGGACAAGGAACCCCACAGACCTGTCGACCACCTATCCAGCCTACGAAACGAGGTATTCCTGTCGGACGAGGAGCAGCCTGATCACGGCAAGTCTTCCTGACATGGGAATATTGTGTTGTCACAGAATGATACATTTGTGATTTGCATGAGCGTCAGTGGCACTGGATTTATTTGATGGAGGCAATTGATACCTGTAATATGACGACCACGAAGGGGGATTTCCACCAAAAGATACACTTTCCTTTGTTTGGGTTGTGGATGGAACGGCAACAGATGGGAAATTACACTTGAGACTGAAGTAATGGGACAGCTATGGATCTGGGATGTTGCTTTGCTTGGTGTTCTCTTGGTTTTATTTCATTGATCGATGTTTTTTTCTTCTTCTTTTTAATCTCGCTTTTCATCTCCCCTGCTTTAGGCGTTATATCAATGGAAGCTTGCCATGCATTGCCCCCGTCCATGACGGCGGGAAGCCAAAACCACCCTCTGGAGCGGTGTGTGTTTGTACCTGATTAATAGTCTGCAATACATCAATCATCTTGACAATTTCTCCTAGATATAGAGATCAAATACTTGACCTGGGGACTACAATCCACCTACCAAGGCAACATCCTCTCACTTCGACATCATCTCCTCTCCAAGGACTCCAAGACATTTAATGTCATCTGCAATGTGAGTACTACTAATCTTGGCTAAATTGGAAGCTCAATTGAATGAATGGCCGACTTCCATCCAAAAATAAAGCGGGGTCCGATAAACGTTATCAACCGGAGCTCTGCCAGATGACTAAGCCGAAACCCGCTGCTGTTTTCGGCGACCCACCCGGACCTCTGGCTCGACACCATCTTTTTCGATCAGCCCATCATTGAAAAGTGTGAAGATGCGGCTGCGTCTGTGTTCGTCCAGGCCCTGAATCTCTCACGCTCCGCCCCGGCCTCGCAGATACTCGGGCAGCATCTCGTGCGCCATTGAATGCTATGTCGCCCTTGCAGCTCCAATCCGAACATCTCCAGCACTCCAGCGACGATTGGCCCGCCTGCCGCACATCAGCCATCTGCGCCTGAACCAGCATCGAAAAAACCCCCATTCCACGACCCGGGCTGCCTGTCCGAGGCATGCCAATTTGGCCTCGGCGCCCTTGTCCATCGCACAGCTAGCAGGCCGTCCGCGAACCGAGCCGCCTGCTAGGCCAAATGCTCGAAAGAACCGCGGCCGCGAGTCTGGAATCATGCAACATCCAGCGCATCCTTCCGAAGCCGACCCGCTCGACCAAGCGCAGCCGCCAGCTTCACACGGGCTTCTGGCAGCATGGGGCGTCTGCCATTGAGCTCTCCAGCATCTGGCCCGCCATAGGGCGCGTCCCCGAGGCGGAACCTGCCGAGAATGCCACCCGCCCGCTGCAGGCTGGCTTGGTGGCCTCGGCCTTTCTGCTCGACTTTCTCTATCCGAGTGCCACATATTCACTGCTGCGGAGGTTATATCCAGGGCTGCCGCGGCCGCAGGATGCAGGTCATGCCGGCGGTGCTGCTAGGCGGAGGCACTTCACCTCTTCCACTGCCGCTGCTGAGCATGGTTCGCAAAGCTCCGTCATGCATCCCACCTCTTCGACCCCGCCATCGATGGAAGGCTTTTCCTCGGCGGCGGGGGGCCAGGCATACCAGCGGGATGATGGAGCAACTGCGGCACGGGCTTCACACACTTCTGACAGTCACTCGCATGCTGCCTCTTCAGAGTATGACTCTCAGAGCTCAACCACCGTGCGCGTAGACCACGTGTCTAGGCTGCAGTCGAATGCCGCACAACTACAGGATATGCTTTCGCATCAAGGCGAAGAGCGCTTTCACGATGTCTGGGACTTATACTGCAGGCTGGACGGACACCAACAGCTCGATTTCCGCCGCGACATGGTCCTTTACCTCTCCAAATCCCGCGGCATAGTCGAGGTGGGGAGAACAATCTCGCTGTTCCGTCAAATTCCGACCTCCAGTTGGGATGATGAGCTTCTTGCTGCCGGTGTCTTGGCTTTTACGCGATCCGGCGACTTGGAATATGCTATCAATAGGTTAAAGGCTGGCATGGAGCTCAAGGGTCTGGTTGGCGGTCTCGAGGATGTCATGGCGGAAATCATTACCAACGAGAAGTGGCCGATGCTCATAGGGGTGTGGCTTGATTTCTATGCGTCTCGCCTCAAGTTTGAGCCTGCTGGTCGACCGGATGCCATTCGCCTAACGCGGCTCGAGACATTGCCTGGCTTGGACAGGCTATTCTTTGCTTTCGAACAGTATCTCTCCTCCGACGGCCTCAAGGCCATTCGCCCCATCAATATCTATGAGACCACCAGGCTGGGACTCAAGGCTCTTAGAAGAAAAATGGCAGAGCTAGCGCTCGCCCAGCCTTGTCAGCCAAGGCAGGCGGCTGCTATTCTGGAAATTTTCAACGACCATCAGTTATACGAGCATTACTTTCTCCGCGTTCTGGAGACCTGGCAGGGCAGAACCGAGCTGACATCTAGCGTAGCCTGGCTGTCGGAGCTGTACAGGACATATCGCAAGCTTCCCGGCGCGCATCCGCCCATCTCGCTCCTTCAGCACATGTTTGAGCTGCATTATCCAGCTGGCACGGCGGCGCTCGAAGAGATCTACCAAGATTGGCATCGCGCCTGGGGAGACTTGGATCAATGGGGATACGAGAAGTTTCTCAAGTTCTATGCAGGTGTGGGCGACACCCAGGCCGTACAACGGCTATGGCGGCGGTATGTGGCCAAGTACCCACGCATGCTGAGAAAGCCCAGGGCGTTTAGGAGCACGATGAATGCCTATGCACAGGTTGGTGACGTTGCCAAGGCCGAAGAAGAGCTTCGAGCCATGACGGATCAGCACGGCGTCAAGCCGGACTTGGATATATGGAACACGTTGCTCAAGTGCTACATGAGAGCGCAAGATTACAATCGAGCCGTCGCTTGCTTCAACGAGATATGCGGCATGTACCGTCCCGACTCCTTTACGTATGCCCACATCATGGCCATGTCTGCCAAGAAGGGCGACCTGGAAGCAACGCTTGGCTTTTTTAACCGCTCTCAAAAGGATCGGATTCCCGTGTCGAAAGAGATGGCCATGTCCCTGGTCATGGCATATTGCCGCAACGATAGGCTCTTGGAGGCGGAGAGGATATGCATGGAGCTAGCAGAACGAGGCGCCACGAGCACGGCCATCTGGAACCAGCTGATCCTGTTCAACGGAATGCAAGGAAAGCTTTCCAAGTGCTATGAGCTGCTACAAGCCATGAAGCTGTTCGATCTCGCCTGGGACCACCAGACGCATGAGTTCCTTCTGCAGGCCCTCGTCAGGGTAGACCAGGTACAACCTGCCTACCGGCTCTTGCAGACGGCCTACAAGGAGAAGCTGTTTCCGGTTGGGCCGGAGCATTTCGCCGTGGTCATGGCCGGAGCCGTACGTACTGGCGAGCTTGGGCTTGTCGAGCTTCTTGCTTCGCATTTGCTCAAAGCCGGCCAGTCAATGAACTTCAACGCCAAGGTAGCCCTGGCCGAGGCTTCGTATCGAAAGACGCCATCGTCGGATAGGACGCGTCAACTTGGCAAAGAGTTTGTAGGCCATCTGCGCTCCATGTTGGTCCACGAAACCAGAGGACGAGATGCCCGGGCCGTCTCGACGCTTCCAGGCGACATCCGGCACCTGAAGAAGCAGACCAAGAGCATTGGCCGTGCCATCAAGCTTCTGGTCGAGCTGCGAGACTTTAAGACGGCGGAGGAGGTCATGAGCCTGTACAGCAGCATGTTCCCAAAACATAGGAGCGGCGAGCCGTTCCCGCCAGAGGTGATTTCCGCGCTGATGCTGGGCTATTTCAAGGACAGGAAGTTCCGCCAGATTCACAAAATGTGGAACGAGATGTGGAACAGAGTTCTTGTCCGAGCCAAGCATCGCAAAGCGGCGGGCATCTACCCCGTTCACGAGTACGACATCTCCCGACCGATGACAATCATGGCGAGGACATACAGAGAACAGATGGACGGAAAGGGCTTGCTCAGATGTGTCGAGCAGGTCACTTCCTCCGGCTTCAAGCTGACGAGAAAGAACTGGAACCTCTTGATTCGGTATCTGGCCGAGACGGGTCAGTGGGAGCCCGCGATGCGCTGGTGCGAGACCATGCTCATGCCGCGCTGGCGTGGGTGGAACCCGGGCAAGAGGAGCCTCCAGGAGCGCCGCCATCTCAGGAACACTCGCGTGCTGCAGGCGTCGAATGCGGCGGTTCTCAGCTTGCAGCGCCAGTGGCTGAATCTGCGCAAGCTGGCCGCCTGGTCAGCCGATGTCTCCGCCAAGCTGAGGGAGATTGAGAGGAAGTATCCTCGTCTGCATTTCGCCTTTACCAACACGGACTTTGAGAATCTCGCTCCTGGGTGGGATGGTCACAGAGCGAGTCTGAGGAAGAAGGCCATGGAATTGCTACGGCCCTTTTCGCATTCGGAGCTCAAGCGGATGAAGAGGTCTTTGGAGAGACAGCTTCGGTCCCAGCGGACTAGACGCCAGCAGAGACGGGGTTTGAGAAGCTCGTTGCGAGTGGTGTCGAGCGTGTCTAGGAGACGAGCTCGTGGAACGAGGGTGCTTGCAGCTCAGACGGAGAAGACGACACCTCGGACGACTGCGGGCAAGGATGATCGCGGAGGCGAGTGAAGCGAGTTTTTTTCTGGGGAGCAACGGGGGGTAGCTTGTATATTGATCTGAAGCATTGCATAGACTTATGGCTCGGCAACACTTGTAATTTGGGGATGGGATGGGATGGGTATCGTGTATGGGTATCTATGTATAGTAGGAAATATCACGCATGAATGATGAGCATATATCTCTAGAAAGGAGGCCTCTGCCATTTACTGTTTGAATATGAGACTGATCAATATTGTGTTTGCTCACCTGGACACATTGATACCTACCCGGGAGATGGCATGATATTCAGGGCCTGAGGGACTGATGGGCATTGGTCACTGACGATAGTAGGCATCAAGGTCCACGTGTGTATAAACGATAATTTGGTCTCAATCTATATCTGCTATTGTTGTGTGGCCTATTAGCAAGTTGTGGTTCAAGTAATCTCAGCCATCACCATTATTACCATGTCAGACGGTCTCAAGTGATGCCCTCGTGACCTGCCCCACTAACCGCTCTGATGTTGAAGTCATTTATCGCTGGTGTCTGGCAGAACGACATTCTATAAGTATAGCACATTCGAACCTTCTCAGCTCAGAAAAACCCAGACGATACAAGATGAAGTCCAATTGCATGTATGTAAAGAGACTCGTACAATACAAGATTCAATCCGCACAGCCACCCAATCGATCTGATAAGGTCAGGTACCTTGCCTTAAATTTCCCCCTCCAAGAGGTACATCTACCCTCTTCGCATGAAGCGTCGTCCTACCCCGCCAAGTACCGGATACGCGATAAGGCACCAGAACGAACAGACAACGCCACCACCGTCCCCGCAGTTCAGCCGATGGAAGGTACTAGGCCCTCGAATTTGACGTAGCCAAATGCCGCCTAGAGCTTCGGCCTCCGATTTGGATTATTAACGGCGTTCCTTTGCTTGACCACCGTCCAGGATCTGTCTGGTATTACTCAGTCCCAGACATCCTTCTCTTTTCTTCTTTTACCAACGACCCGGGCAATGCTCACGACAGGCAGATTCTTGCGGGCTTGCTAAGAACTGCTGCGGGCTTTCTCCTCCTGTCCATCTTTCTCTTCTGCCTGTCCATTCATTTTGTCTTCTCGACTCTCCCTCATCACCTCGGCTAGATCTGGATTTCTAATACCGTCGCGACTTCTACAACTACCACCACCACTACCACCACAAAGCATCACCGCTCGACATGCTCCCCCGATCGCGAGCCTCTGGGCGGCTCATCCTCGAGCGCTCAGCGGCGCATCCCGCCCGCACGCTGGCCGATTCGATCCCCCGAGCCTGGACACTGAGCTCGGCTCTGCGCGCCACACACATCGCCGGCCGTCGGTATCCCGGACCGCGTCCGCGGGTGCAGACGGCAGCCTTGTCGACGAGCGCACGGCTAGGCAAGGAAAAGGACAAGGGTAGCAACTTTTTTGACTCTGCCGTTGAGCCGCAGTCAAAAGAAGAGGACGAGGCAAAGGCAAAGGCCAAGCTTGAGAACGCCAAGGAGGAGTCCAAAGCTGCTACTGCCGACTCAACAGCCTCGGCTGCAAAGAGTGAGGGCGGAAAGTCGGAAGACGGGAAGCCCAGTGGTGCTGCCGGAAGCGCTGCCGGTGCCGGGTCGGGCGCAGGCGGCGACGGCTCCAGCGGTGATGGCGGGAAGCGAGGGCGCAAGTCTGCCGAGAGGGCGTTGTCCAAGCCCGTCATCCCAGAGGTGTACCCGCAGGTCCTTGCGATCCCCATTGCCCGGCGGCCGCTGTTTCCGGGCTTCTACAAGGCCATTACGATTAAGGATCCCAATGTCGCGACTGCCATCACCGAGTCCATTAAGCGTGGCCAGCCGTATGTCGGAGCTTTCCTCTTCAAGGACGAGAACGAGGACGACGACGTTATTCGAAACGTAAACGACGTGTACGATGTTGGTGTCTTTGCGCAAATCACGAGCGCGTTCCCCATTCACGGACAGGAGGGTGCGTTGACGGCGATTCTATACCCTCACCGGAGAATCAAGCTGTCCAGTCTGGTTGCGCCTGGAGGGCAGGACGCCGACAAGGCCGAATCCAAGACGGAGCCCGAGCCCGAGCCGATACCGCAGAAGACCGAGGAGGATACACAAGAAAAGAAGGGCGATGTGGTGGCGAGCTTCGAGGAGAGCGCCGTGGAGAAGAAGTCGGAGCAGGCGGTAGACAAGTACGAGCCCACGTCGTTCCTCAAGAGATACCCCGTCAGCCTGGTCAACGTGGAGAACCTGGCGGACGAGCCCTACGACCCCAAGAGCCCCGTCATCCGCGCCATCACCAACGAGATTGTCAATGTCTTCAAGGAGGTGGCCACGATGAACAACCTTTTCCGCGACCAGATTTCTACCTTTTCCATGAGCCAGTCTACGGGGAACGTCACCTCGGAGCCGGCTAAGCTTGCCGACTTTGCCGCTGCCGTTTCTTCTGGCGAGCAGAACGAGCTGCAAGAGGTCCTGGCTTGCATGAACATTGAGGAGAGGATGCAAAAGGCTCTGGTCGTGCTGAAGAAGGAGCTCATGAACGCGCAGCTGCAGTCCAAGATTACCAAGGACGTCGAGAATAAGATTAGCAAACGCCAGCGGGAATACTGGCTCATGGAGCAGATGAAGGGCATCCGTCGGGAGCTCGGCCTGGAATCCGACGGCAAGGACAAGCTCGTGGAGAAGTTCAAGGAGAAGGCTGCCAAGCTGGCCATGCCTGAACCCGTGCGCAAGGTGTTTGATGAGGAGATCAACAAGCTGGCGCATCTGGAGACGGCGGCCTCGGAGTTTAACGTTACACGGAACTACCTCGACTGGCTTACGCAGATTCCCTGGGGCCAGCGGAGCGCGGAAAACTTTGGCATCCCGAACGCTGTCAAGGTTCTTGATGAGGATCACTACGGCTTGCAGGACGTCAAGGACCGAATTCTCGAGTTTATCGCTGTCGGCAAGCTGCGGGGCTCCGTCGAGGGCAAGATTCTCTGCTTCGTTGGGCCTCCCGGCGTCGGCAAGACGAGTATCGGAAAGTCGATTGCTCGCGCGCTCAACCGAGAGTACTATCGTTTCAGTGTTGGAGGTCTGACCGATGTCGCGGAGATCAAGGGCCACCGAAGGACGTATGTGGGCGCTCTGCCCGGTCGGATCATCCAGGCACTGAAGAAGTGCCAGACGGAGAATCCCCTCATCCTGATTGACGAAATCGACAAGATTGGGCGAGGCTACCAGGGAGACCCCTCATCGGCTCTGCTGGAGTTGCTGGACCCTGAACAGAACAGCTCGTTCCTGGATCACTACATGGACGTGCCGGTTGATCTGTCAAAGGTCTTGTTCGTCTGCACGGCCAACATGACGGATACCATCCCTAGACCTCTGCTGGATCGCATGGAGCTCATCACGCTGTCTGGATACGTCGCAGACGAGAAGAAGGCCATTGCGAACCGGTACCTCGCTCCGGCTGCCAAGGAGGCTGCCGGTCTGAAGGATGCGGACGTCCAGCTGACGGATGAAGCCATCGAAGAGCTCATCAAGTCGTACTGCCGCGAGTCTGGTGTCCGAAACCTGAAGAAGCAGATTGAAAAGGTCTACCGCAAGTCCGCCTTGAAGATTGTCCAGGAGCTTGGAGAGGATGCCTTGCCCGAAGAAGAGGCTCTGACGGAGGAAGGCAAAGCTGCGGCGGAAAAGGCCAAGGAGTCTGCTGCAGAGACTGAGGAGGGTACCGAGAAAAAGACTGCTACTGAAGCCAGCGAAGACGAAACCACAGAGAAGCCACGCAAGGCGCTGAAAGTGCCGGAAAGCGTCCACGTCACCATCGGCAAGGACAACCTGACAGACTACATTGGACCGCCCGTATTCACGTCGGATCGCCTGTACGACGTGAGCCCGCCCGGCGTGTCCATGGGCCTGGCCTGGACACAGATGGGCGGCGCGGCCATGTACATTGAGTCGATCCTGCAGGCACCGCTCCGGCCCAGCTCACGGCCCGGCCTGGAGATTACGGGCAACCTCAAGAACGTGATGAAGGAGTCGACGACGATTGCCTACTCGTATGCCAAGTCCTTCATGGTCAACCGCTTCCCGGACAACCACTTCTTCGACAAGGCCAAGATGCACCTGCACGTGCCCGACGGCGCCGTGTCCAAGGACGGCCCTTCTGCGGGCATCACCATGACGACGTCGCTGCTATCGCTCGCGCTGGACACGCCCGTCGACCCGACGGTGGCCATGACGGGCGAGATTACGCTGACGGGCAAGGTTCTCCGGATCGGAGGGCTGCGGGAGAAGACGGTGGCGGCCAGGAGGGCCGGGTGCAAGACGATTATTTTCCCCAAGGACAACATGTCGGATTGGTTGGAGCTTCCTCAGGTATGTTGATCTTCTCTATCTCTCCTATCCTGTCGGCCCATGCGGATGAACAACGGAGATTGCTAACTACCTATCACTTTGTAGACCATTAAGGAAGGCATCGAGGGCCACCCCGTGAGCTGGTACACTGAAGTCTTTGACCTTGTCTTCCCCAACATTGACCAGGCAAAGGCCAACACGTGCAAGATCTGCGAGTGGAAGGCTCAGCAGAAGAAGAAGGACAAGGACGAGGCCGCCGAGAACAAGGAAGATGACGACTGAAAAAAGAGAATAAGGACAATGTTTGCCGATTAAAAAACAACGACATCTCTTGGACATGAGTCTATGAGCGAACATGAGAGAGAAGGGGGGGGAGGGGAGGGAGAAAATGCCAGGCCAGCCTCTACCAATCTGGACGAAGCATTTGGGATAAAACTTGCTCTATCATTTATCCCCTTGCATGCAATCTCGAGGGGGGTCATTCATCATCGGGGCACTCTCGAAGAACCCCTCCTACACATGTTGAATTTCTCATCGTTCTGATATAGATTTGACGGGGGATCAAGGTGCAATGTATGAATTTGAGGGAGAAATGGCGGCGATTGCATGTTGGGGAGGGGGTTTGCATGAGCTGGGCGTTTGGTAGAATTTCTCCCCCCCTTTGAATGTTATCTAAGGGGAGAATGGGATTGGGCGGGTTTGGCGGAAGAGAGAATCAACTCCTACTCTACTTGTAACAACAACAAAAGACAATAACGAAACAAGAAAGAAACAAAAAAAATTCAAGAAAGGAAACGACAGAAGGCCACAGTGTTTCTTAGCATCGGGAAGGGGGGATATGAGGGGAGAAGAGGGAGGGCTGCGGCGATGCATTGTATGTTTGTTTGTACGTATATATATATAGGTCAGGTATATATGATCTTAACGGTCTGATGAGTTGGACGGAGATGTAAGAAGAAGAGGATGAATTATTTTTCCCCCTAGAAGAATGGACCGAGAAGCTTTAAAGATCTACTATACCTACTACTATAGTAGAGGAGGGGAGGGGAGGAAAAGTGAAATGTAGCAAATTGTAGCGCAAAACTTGTGCAATGTTTCATTTGTTCTCTTTGCAAGAAATCGGTGTGATGAATGTCTGTATGATGAGGCTATCTGGAAGAAAATCGGATGACTTCGAACTGGCTGATGAACAGAATAGCATCTTGATCATACGAACTACCTGTAGGCATGTGGTTCCATGATGAGTGCATCAGGTAATAGATGAAATAGTATTGGTCATCGACATGATATGAGCAAACAGCTTGGGCGAACGGCGGTTGACAATGATGATTGTGCCTTGGAGGCGTGATTGGGCATGATTGGGCGAGAGGCGATTGTCACTACAGTACTATGTGTGTACTAAGACGTAGCAAGTTTGCAGAACTGCATCATGCACCATCGATGACGCCGTTGGGGTTGGCACCAGTTGGGTTTCTACTTGCTTGCCTGCTTTGCTCGATTCCGCGCCCATGTTTGCTTGCGCTCTAAGTCCGATCCGATGCATGCAAGGGGCTCAAACGGTTCGGCAGCAAGCATCACGCGGCTTTTTGGGCTGCGGTTCGATTTCGATTCGATCCAAAAGACGGGCGCATTGATGCAACCAAGCGCTCTGCCCAATGAAGCCTTGCAATATACTTGTACCTACTACTTAGGTAGTTCATGCCCGAGCGTGGCCTTGCTGATTCCAGCGAGGCGATTATTATTAGTGCCTTGAAGATTGGGGGGGTTTGATAAGAAGTGGCATCATGATGAGGTACAGAGGGCCATGCGAGGCACCAAGATGGACATGCGCGTGCAAGGGGAGCAGGTTTCTGCGGGTTGGTTGACGTGAGGCTTCAACTGCTCGGGGGTTGCATCGATAATACTAGCGGGGAGGATGGAATGCAGTTGTGCCTGAACCCCAACGCTAAGGATCGACGCGGCTCTTGTGTTGGCTCATCACATCCTGGGTCAACTTGACAAGTGATGCGTTCCTTTTCTTCTTCTTTTCCGTTTCTTTCTCTTGCGCCCCAGCAGGACCATGTGCTCATTGTCAGCAGTTTTGCTTCTGAGGGAATTGGAAATCAACCGTTGAATGCATAGGGGACAAGGGAGCAGCAGCAACACGAAATCGAAGAGGCTGGGTGGTTCAGGTGGCCAGCAACATGGTCGTAGTAGTAGTAGTAGTAGTAGTAGTAGTAGTATAATAGACCCTGATGTGCGTCATCTCGGAACAGATCCCGGGGGCTGGGGGGGATGGCTGACAAGTGAGTTCTGCGGATGCGTTCCGGGATTTATTATACGGAAAACGGGAGGTCGAGGTGGTGTTCTCGAAAAAAAAAGGGGTTGCTGGTGGCTTTTCGTCCTTCGTATTCCTTGTCCTTCGTGCTTCGTGGCTCGGGGCCTGAGTAGACCTGCCGCTAATAAGGTGTGTTTCTTTCCTTTCCGATTTCTGCTCAATTGGGCCATCCGGGTGGTGTTTTGGTGTGTTCATGTCGGATCGGGCTCTGCCGCAATGTTTCAACATGCCGTCCTACTCCCGTTTGTCGAGTCAACCTGGTGCCTGAAGTGAGCATCCATCTGGCCCGGCCTTCTATAAGCTCCAATGAGCGGCGTACCAGGGAGCGAGTGGGCGCGCAGGGCCTAAACCGCGTGGCCGGGACTGGAGCGCTCGTGAGCTGTCGGAATGCCCGAGTCAAGACGGGGGGCAGGATTAGGGATCAGTAGATGCCGGGTCAAGCACAGGGCACGGCAATCAACAGGCTCCCAGCAGGAGATTGATGATTTGTGACGGGAATCGCCAGATACGAATGAACGGGCACATCGCGTGCTGTCGTACTCGGCTTATGTGCCTCGCATGTAAGGGACTTTGTATGCGCGTAGGGAAGGACGCAGCAGCCCTGGCAGATGGGATGCGAGCGAGGCCAAACAGCGATTCGATTGATTGCGCGAGTTCCATGTAGATGCAAATGTACGTGTATGCGCATGTACGTACGATGCGGCATTGGGTCCGATCCAGGCCGTTTGCTGTAGGTACTCGTACGAGTGTGTCTTTCATGTCTTGTAGGAGTAGTCGTTGGTGGTGGTTCTAGTGCGGAGGCTAAGGCGAGGACGAGCAGTTCGGTGCCCAATCCCTCCACAACAAGACCTGCCAGGTTGGTGATACCAGACAGCAGCATCGATGCCGCGGGACGGACAAGGAACGACATGTAATAAACAGCTGGCACTGCTGCGTTGTTCAGGACGAAAACGCCCTAGTATCTTGAGGGTATAGAACGCCCTAGTATCTTGAGGGTATAGATTGGCCTTATTGCCGAACTGCCAACTCATCTGGAAAGCCATGGATATGCAGATGATGGTGACGATAATGATGATGATGATGATGCCCTCGGGTTCGATTGTATGTACTCGTGCTGTATTTCGTAGGGGTGCCCGGTTCTCTGGATGGACATGTGTCCACTGCCTACCTGCCTACTCAGGTACTGTATGTACGATAGCTAGTAGCAAGTCATTCAGGCAAAACATACAAACGCCTGCATACCCGTAACAGCGACAGCGACATCCACCATGCGTATCCATACGATTCTCGCAGTTGCCACGGCAATGGGCCGACTCGTGTCGCTTCTTCTCGCTCTCGTTGAGTTCTGTTCGCTCCTCATCCCTCCGCCTGTAGGGCTTCTTCCACAGGCCCCAAAGAGGGACAAGCGAGGGCGGAGGCTGGGCCCGGCGTCGTCGAATTGGCGGTCACGAGCGTGCAGGCGGTCGATGGGGCAACCGGGGATTGGCCAATATTTGCCGCTTGGGTGATGTTTTGCTCGGTTTTCTTCTTGTCGCTGGCTGGTGGAAGATGCAGGTCTGAGATGTGATGGAAGCGGTCGAGATGCGAGGGGACAGGTTTACCTTACTCTGGGTAGGTACGTTCAAGTCGTTCATTACCTAAGGTACCTACCTTCCTTATTTCCTCTATCTTGATGCTTTGTCTCTCATATGTAGACGATACCTCGGCTTGTCTGTATAGGTACTCGTAACTGAACGTGTCTTGAGAGCAAAGAAGCGCGCAGATCATCGTCTGCACTCCAGCAAAAGAAGCGCCCCGCTGTGACAACGCTGTGTCCCTCGCCTGTCATTTGATGCTACCGCCAGGTTGCCCGTTTTGGTGCCATCCAGCAAACGCGCAGGTCGTTGGAGCACAACCTTGAAGCCTGGGGGGGTGATGACCAGGCCTTTGCAAGTACCCGGAGTCACTGCTACCAGCAGGGTGCCATCAGCTGTCCGTTTTGGGGAGGTCTCTCGGATCCACTGGGGAAAGAGCGTTTAATCAATTAAATCAATCACCTGGGCAATCGGTCAACCTGAATTAATCAATCGGCTCATATAAAGCACTGCTGTATAATATCCTCATAGTAGTAGGTACAGTAAAATGGTCATCTCCAGCCTCACCAAAGAAGAAAAGGAGTGGAGGGGTCCTACGAGCCCAACCCAACCGAACTGAACTGAACCGGATCCTTGTTTTTACGAGGTGTCAGCTCAACCGACCCATGCACCCTGGTCTGACCCGACCCATGGTCCTGAATTTAGTAGGAAAAAAAAGTTCACCCGACCTATGCTCTTTATAATATGATTGGCTAGATTTACTTTTAAGTGGAGCATAGGTAGCCTCAGGTCTTACATTAATGCATTAAAAATGCATTAATATAGCATTCTTTAAAGTTTATTATTAAAGGTTAGTGGTTAGTGGTTAGGGTTAGTTGTTAATAGTTAGGGTTAGTGGCTAACTTAGGGTTAATATAGTATATCTTATAGTAAAGTAATAGAATGTATTAATGCATTAGAAATTCATTTAGTTTTATATAGAAAAGTTCACCTGACCCATGGGTTAGCTTCTTTTAGCTATAATTGGCTATAGCACTCTTTTAGTGGAGCATGGGTCGGGTCAGACCAGGGTGCATGGGTCGGCTGATGTACCACCTCGTTTTTACCTTAGTGTTGGTCCCTTGTCCCTTGGATCCCACGAGTTGACAGACGGGCAGCAAGGTTCCAGGTCCCATCACTCCCCCTACCCTTTTATACTAGTAGTAGGAGCCGGTAGTACAGTAGCACAGTTGAGGTGGAGGAGGCCCGAGTTAGTGGACGTTCTAGCGGCAAGCCTCCGCTGTTAGTGGCCGCCATCCGCCGGTGCTGCGCTGCTTGGGCTCTGCTTGGGCCCGGCTGTGGCTTGCTGGTAGTGCTGGTAGTGCTGGTAGTGCTGGTAAGGGGAGACTTGGCTGGTTAGGTAACATGAAGGGGCATCAATTGGAACCCCATGATATCAGCTGCCGCTTCAGCTGCCTCCCCCCCCCCCAGAGGCCTCGAAATGAACCTCATCAACGGATGGATGACCTGCTTCTGCTCGCTTGCTTATTATCACTCATTGCATGCCGCTGCACTGCCTCGCCTGGCACGGCTGGGTAAATCCAGCTTCTTCTGCTCGCTCGCTCGCTCGGCCTCGCAACTCCCACCGTCTGGCGCGGTTGAAGCCGGTCGTCGCACAAAACCCCAGGCTGTCTCTGTCTCTTCTGTCTCTGTCTCTGCATCAACCTCTGACCCTTCTGCTGCTGCTCACCTCGCCCGACCCCAGAAAGAGGCCCGGCCCCTTGTCCTGTCTGTCCGTCCATCCACCATCCACGGCTGCCGCATCCCTGCCATCCAATCCCTGCCATCCCTGCCCATACATGACATGTGCACAACTGACGGCGGGCCTGCGTCTCTCGGAACGATTTGATTTGGCCCGACCGGGTCCTGGTCCAGTTGCGGTCCAGCAACACCACCGACAGACGGCCAGATAATCGCAATCATACCTACCGGACAAGAAGGCTGATCATCAACTCCAGCCTCTCTCTCTCTCTTCCCGCTCCACATCCTCTCTGCCTACCCGCCTGCCTGCCTGCCTGCCTACCTGCCTTTCTGCCCCTGCTGCAGAAGCTTTGTCCAGTCTCTGTCCAGCGTCTCTCTGTCCATCACTTTTGCCTCCTTTTTACTCTCTCCATCACCCCCGCCAGCCAGTCATATTTTCCCCAGCCGACAGCTTCCACTATTTGTGCTTCCTCCGCCCCCCCCATTTGGCCTCGCCGCTCCTGAGCGGGCTTCTCTCCACGAACCAAGCAGGACCGGGACATCTCCAGCCATCCATTCTTCCAACCATCCAACCACCTCCATCCCGCCTCGCCTCGCCTCGCCTCGCCATTTACCTACAGGCACGCCTCACCGTCTCCCCCTCCTCCTCCTCCTCCTCCTCCTCCTCCTGCTGCTGCTGCTGCTGCTGCAGCACCAGACACAGGCTTCCTACTGGCTCGACATCAACCACTCAGAATCTTCGTTCGCCTGTCGTTTCTGCCTGCTCGGCTTCTTCATCTCTTCGACTCCATCTCTCGGCTTCAGCCTCCGACAGCATCCAAGTACACCACAGCAAGCTGGAGCTTCTCCAGGTTTGACTCAGACGGCAATCGGCAACCCGTGTCTCTCCTCCCAGGGAGGCTCGCTGTTTGTCCCGCTCGGTGAATCCGTCAGTGCATCACCATCAATCCAAGCAAGCCGTCTATTTATATCCTTGAGCTGCCATCTTGCTGCTGTCCATCAAGCCCCTGCCGGCTCCCAGCACCCCTCCTTACTACCATCTCTCTCTGAGCCTCACGACTGGCTGCCATCCGACGAAATTCTCTCGCTCCTCACTGGCTGAAAAGGAACGAACAAGAACAGCCGGCTTATATATACGATTTCTGCGCATCCCCCGTCCTTGCTCGCCTCGGATAGCTGCCGCTTCGCTGCACCCTCGCACCCTGATAGCAGGTACCCGGCGCTGCGCGGCTCCGTGGCGCACCTCGACAAGTACATCCAAACGGCTGTAGCGTGGGCCGCCCAGCATCACAACGCCATGCCTCCGCCCGATGGCCGGCCCTGCACCTCGCCGCCTCTCCTGCAGCCGCAGCTCCAGACGCTTCCGCAGTCTTCGCAGCCCGCAAAGCAGAGCTTCCTGCGCAAGCTGCTGACCCGCTCCGACAGCTCGAGGAGCTCCAAGTCGTCCGCCTCGTCCGTCTCCGCCAGCCAGCAACCCGCACCCGTCTCGCCTCAGACGCCCCCTGCCGGCTCGGGCATCGTCAAGCGCCTGTCTCGGAGGGTCGTGCCGGGCCTCCCTCGGTCCCAGACTTTCAAGCGCCAGCTGTCTGAGAGCAGAGAGCACCTGGCCCCCGTCGAGCCGTCGGCCGAGGAGCGCCGTGCCGCGTCCGTCGACAGACGATGCCACTACCCGCAAAAGGCGGGCCGCCGCAGCCTGCGAGCTCACCCCGAGCCCCGATCTAGTGCCCCCAGCTTCTATGGCGAGACGCTGCACGAGACGGGCTCCAACTATGCGCAGTCGCTGCCGGTAGACCTCGCGGACCTTGCAGATATCGAAGCCGCGGGCTCAACATATTCGGACCTGCCGCATGCCATTTCAACGGACATGGACGGCAACGAGGCTGACGATGAGTACACCGCTCAGGACGCCGTGTCCGTGGCCGACTCCCGGTCTCTCACGGCGTCTCAGTACGAAGCCATGATTCACGACGAGCTCGAGAGGGAGTGGATCCTCAACCTCAGCATGCACTTTAGGGACCGGTCGAAGCGGGAAAAGTTCTTTGTCACATACCGCGAGCAGGAGCACATGTGGCGCCGCGTCACCGTGTCGCTCGACTACCGCGATGCGCCCGAGAACTCGCTCGAGTGGGATCTCAACCACACAAAGTACCAGCGGGACAAGAGCGCCAAGATATACGAGGCCATCCGCGAGAGCCTGCCGGACATTCAGTTCTACGACACCGTGACCAACCTCAAGCTCGAGACGACGGACGGGAGGCTGCATGTCCACGTGGTGGAAGATGGCAATGTAAGTAGCCGCTCCGAAGCGTTTCATGGTGTCGTCACATGGACTAACAGGACAAGGAAATCATCCACTATCCAAACGTCAGCCAGGTTCGCCATCTCGGCTGCAGGCGAGTCAAGGAACGAGACATCATTTTCGACTCCCACATGTCTGGCTTTGTCTACAAGGTCAGCGTGCAGGGCCACATGCTCATCAAGAAGGAGATTCCCAGTCCCGACACCGTCGAGGAGTTCCTCTACGAGGTGAACGCTCTCAACGGCCTGAGGTTCTCCAGGCACGTCATTGACTTTTACGGCGTCGTCGTCGACGACAACGACGAGCACGTCAAGGGACTGCTCATCAGCTTTGCCGGTCAGGGCGCCCTGATCGACATCATCTTTGAGAATTGCAAGGAGAACAACATTGGCCTCCCCTGGGAAATGAGGGAGAGATGGGCAAGGCAGATTGTGCAGGGACTGGCCGACGTTCACGAATCGGGCTTTGTCCAGGGCGACTTTACGCTGTCCAACATTGTCATTGACGACAACGGCGATGCCAAAATCATCGACATCAACCGCCGCGGCTGCCCAGTGGGCTGGGAGCCTCCCGAGGCAACGGCCCTGATCGAGTCCAACCAGCGGCTGTCCATGTACATTGGCGTCAAGTCAGACCTGTACCAGCTCGGCATGGTCCTCTGGGGGCTTGCCATGCTCGAGGACGAGCCCGAGACTCAGGGGCGGCCGCTGATACTTGGGCCGGAGATCAACGTGCCCGACTGGTATCGCCAGATGACGGAGATTTGCCTCAGCGACGACCCGCGGATGAGGCTACAGGCGGCATCGCTGCTGCGAATGTTCCCACGCGTGATGCACGGCGACGAGCACAGCGATGCCCTGCACTCTGACCAGGAGCCGGTTCGCATGGACAACGTCGCCATGGCGCGCGAGTACTCTTCGGACGGATACGGCATTGATCATCACCATGCAACGAGGGCGGCCGACCGCGAATGGACCTACTCGGGCTCGACGTATGCCGACAGCGGGCTGCTCCCCTATGATCAGCACTACTCCGCGCGCGGTCGGTCACCACCGAGCGCGCTGCCCAGCGACACGGAGGGCGATGCCGCCAACAAGTCGGGCTGGGCAGCCAACAGGAACATTGCTCCGTCTTACAGCGATAGCGGCGAGAGCTACGTGCTGCCAGAAGACGAATATGACGTTCCCCGACAGCCAACCCCGACCCCCTCTGCGGAGAAGTTCCTGAACATTAGTGACCGGCGTCAACGACCCCTGGGGCAGCTGAACTCGTCCCTCGCCTATGAGAGCACCGACTACTTCACCGCCGATGACCAGGGAGCAAAGGGATTGGCCCCGGCGGCGCCTGAATCAAGCTGGGGAGGATCAGCAAGCAATTACACGGCAGAGGAGGACACCATATTGGAGTCGAGCAAGGCAGCCGAAAAGGCTGTTCCCGCTGTCGTCGTGACGGAGACTCCTGACGAGGTGCCCCAGTTCAGAACCCCCGAGATGCAGCAGGGCAGAAACTGGGGAAAGCATGATGACAACCGAGGCGATGCCCGACGACAAGACTCGGCCGTTGACGTGCACCCTGATGCCCGAGCGGCGAATAGCCCAGATGTGCCTGTCAGGACAAGGTCGAGCCCGAGGCTGAAGCTGTCGAAGAACACGGCCAACATCAAGGTCAAGCGGCTCCGAAAGGTTCCGAGGGCCGAAGACGGCTACCGATCCTCTTCCTCCCACGCAACGCCGCATCAGACGGTGCCCAACACGCCCGTCACAGCAGAGGCCACCAGGCCGGGCGAGAGCGCTCGCGTCACGACGCCGGAAACGGAGTCGGAGCCCGACTACATTGCGTCGCGATCACCGGGCTTCAAGTCGCCCGACCCTCGGCAAGGATACAATGCCAGGGATGCGCAAAGAGCCGGGCAGCTGCTCAGCGGAGGGGCGAGTGAGCAGTGGACCCAGGAGGATGCTCACGGTCAGACAGACGCAGAAGGAGGCTTCAGGTATCCGCGGCACGGGACGATGCCCGTTTCGCTGACGGGGATTGGAGCAGCACATCTGGGGCTGCAGGGCGAGCTGCTGCCGGAGAAGGGGTTGATGGACGACGAATTCCAGTTAATGACACGAACCGAGGCGCCGCCTCTGATGATTACGACAGATGCTCAGACATGATACAGACATACAGAGCGAGTTTGATAGCATGGGGCCCGTTTTTATCTCTTTTTTTTTTTTTTTTTTTCGGCTTGGTTGTCATTTGTTTCTCTTGACATTTGGTTTGTGCCCGAGGGCAATATTGGATATACTTGCATGTAAAGTAAGGTAGATGTGGTGGCGGGCAACTGACCTGGCGCTCTTACTTGATACTCTACGACTTTGGATATAGGGGAATTTTGAGAATTGTCTACCCTCTTGGAATGACTTGCCCCGGTATTTGCCGGTTTATGAGTATGAGATATGACTCGGTTGACCAGACAGTAGGGATGTTGAGCATACAGCACTTTGGCGAGCGATGAAGCAATTTGACAAGCGAATCTCTGTTCAATATCAACCTTTAACCGATATTGATTGTCAAGATGGTGGTTGAGATTGATGGGGTTCGATTTGTACGTGAGACAGGTGTTTTGCATATGTGCATGTTCAACAAATCATGTCAGTTGGAAAGAGATGCTCTATGTCTCTGACTTTACCAACAATCACTTGCTTGTTGAGGCAGTTTCTTGGACAGACTCTGTGATGTGTGACATCTCTGGCTTCGGGGTTCATTGGATCAAAACCTACCTAGCAGCTCAGTAGGTACCTGTGAAGGTGCAGAGATAGGTAGGTAAAAGACGGCATGGAAGAGAGCTTGAGAAGAAGGTGTAGAGCTTGCGTTGAAGCTTTGTTACCCAAAAGGGTAGAAAAAAAGCCATGAAATCCTGTATCCAGCGCCATCAAGCCTCTTTTGTCTTTCTTCAAAGCCACGGCGCATGTTCATTGCATGTTGCTCTTATTACCTCATGCCAACTTATTTTTACCTTTCCGTCGACTCCGTTATATGGGAAGCACATGGAACAGATAACGACGACTACTACCTGAGGTACTTACCTCATCACTTCCCTACTTATCTTGGAACGAGGTTTGGAAACGGGATCATCACAACGTGGCGCTCTGGGGTGGCTGAGTTGTGGCTTTAGATCTCGACAGATGCAGAATCGGGTTGATGTGATTGGATGTTGAATATTTACTGTAGTACTGCTTCGGCTAGAAGGAGCAAGAAGCGATACTAACAAAAAGACAGAGGTACGTACCTGAATGCTTGAGCTTTTTCCATTCCCTGATGTCGTTTTAAAACTGGGGCGGTCCGGGATATGGAGCCGCGGCAGCAGTGGTTTTTTTTTTTTTTTCTGTTGGGGATGACGAGGGGGGAGGGAACATACCTGTTTACGCGTATTTCTTTTGGATTTGGGTGGAATGGGATTGGATGATGTGGTTTTTTGAGATTTTGGGGTGGTTGAGGTTCATCGTGCCGAGGTTTGTGAGTGAATGTGAGTGTGAATGTGAATGTGAATGTGATGATGATGAGCTGGATAGGCTATTCGATGGGAATTACTCGGTAGGTGTTACTTGACGGCTGTGTTACAGAGTGCGGGCTGGACTTGACATGGGATGGGATGAGTTGACAGATGCTGCTGCGTGGAGCCTTTGGTGATGCGAATGTGTGGTTTATTACCTTACGTGGAGGCAGACGTATGTACAGAGTATGCCTCGACGTGCTGTATGTATGCGTGCGTTGGTCGAAAAGATTGATACTACCTTGCTTTTTACTTGACGATGGATTTGAATGCATGTACGAGGCAAGAGAGACATTACACACGAATCACAGACTGGCTAAGGAACCACGGGCTGCAGCGTGTAAACTTGAGTGTCGATGGTGAAGCTGGAAGCCATCCCCAGCCAGCAGTGACATACACAGCATCATCATCATCATCATCATCATCACCAGCACCAGCACCAGCACCACGACAATGCAACATCCCCAAACCCAGTCACTTTACATATAAAAAAGCCATTCCGCATCAAGACCAACATCCAAAAAAGACATGGACCAGAGACGATTCTTCGTCCGCTGCTCCGTTCCGTGTCAAACATTGAATTCCCGTCGTCAAAAAGTCAACAGTCAAAAGTCGAAGTCAGTGAAAGCCCGAAATCACGATCTAGCCAAAAGCAGCAACGCCCCAGAAGGGAAAAAAAAGTTGTTGGGGAAAAGAAGCCTGCGAAAAAAAGGTTGAGTGGCGCTCTCTACCGCCAGCTTCTGATTGGCTGTCTTCTCTAGGGGTGGCGTTTTTTGAGAGTGGGTATCAGGAGGGGCGTGTGAGAAGAAGAATTCAATGTACCTCGACCTGCATCCCTCGACTGTTGATGGTTCTACTATTGGCTTTTTTGCGATAGTAATGAAGAGTATCTATCACCTTAGTGCAGCAGAATGTCAGGCCAGATAGAGCTGTATATCTGCTGATTCCATCATGACGAAGTGTTCTTGTTCCCAAGTCAAACAAAACCGTTGAGGCGTTGAACAGCTATGAGTATTTCGAAGAAGCGAGATGATGGGCTGATATCAGCATACTCACGTTCAGTCCTCTCCCCCCAACTGTTTCAAAACCACAGCGTCACCAAATCGCTTGCAACGCAGTTTCGCAGCCTGATGCGATTGCATGACTTACACGCCAGCAAGGGGCAGCTGTAGCCGGTACCTGTAGCCATCAGCTACAGCGCACGGAATCTGGCCCCCGGGAGCGCGTACCGGTACATGGTTCTTTGCCTCCCAACACACTCGAGCGAGATCCAACAAAATTCCCGGGTTCGGCAGTGCGGAGAGGTACCCTTGCGAGCTGAGTGACTTTTGTCTGACCGCTGCTCGCTGTGGGTGCAGCAGGTACCTTTCGCCATGCGGGTACAGAGATGGCAAACGACAACCTCGAAACTCGACCGTTTGCCTGCGACTTCTCCTCGTTCTCTCTCTCTCTCAATTCTCCACCAAGCGGCAAAAGAAAGAAACGCCCTCTTCTTCTTCTTCGAATACATAACAAGCAAGAATCGGGGTTCCCATTCATAATTTGCCTCTCCCATACTGATCCCTTCTGTTTATGCCTTAGTAATAGATAGCCCTTTTTTTGCCTTTCCTCCTTCAGCCTCTTCGACAGGATTCGGGATTTCCAGGCCTCGATGCTCTGATCTGGGCTGATCCGGAGCCTCCACTTGGCGGATATCCGATACTAGCCCAGGGCCATCGCTTGTGCTTGATTACACGCCCTCCTCCTCCTCCTCCTCCTCCTCCATCCTCGTCCAAGACGCTGCGGCGAAATCCACAGGCACCGTTTTCGTTTTCTTCGCCAGTTTCCACCTGTTTCCTCTCTGGGATTCTCTCACACCCTCGCTTCACACCCTCCCCCCCTCCCTCCCCTCCGCTTTGATAGCTGGTCCCCTGTCCTCCCTTCCTCCGGGGAACTTGTTTATTAGAAAACAGCCTCTTCCTCTTCTCAATCCTCTTCTTGTCCCCTCTCTCCTCCTCGTCCCTCATATCCCTCCTCCTTCTCCTCCTCCTTCTCCAGCCTCTCTTCTCTTCTCTTCTTCTTCTCATCCTCCTCCTCCCTCTCTTTTCGACATTCGACAGGGAACCACAAGGAGAGAAAAGAAAAGAAAAGCAGCATCACCAAACATGTCGGAGCCTTCAGCCTCGGCCGCAAAGGCCCAGGCTTCGGCCTTTCCAGACGGCACAACCGACTACGTGCCTCTGCGGTCCAGCAGCTCCAAGTACGACCCCAAGAAGGTGCACATCGCCGACACGCCCATCACCTGGGGCAACTGGTACAAGCACGTCAACTGGCTCAACACCATCTTCATCGTCTTCATCCCCCTCATCGGCTTCATCTCCGCCTACTGGGTCCCGCTCAAGGTGTCGACGGCCATCTTCTCCGTCATCTACTACTTCAACACGGGTCTGGGCATCACAGCTGGTGAGTGACTCTCTTTTCGAGTATCATGATATGTCATGGGACGAGGAAGCAAGGCTCTTCTTAAACTAACACAACACCACAAAGGTTACCACCGTCTCTGGGCTCACTCCTCCTACAAGGCCACCCTCCCCCTTAGAATCTACCTCGCCGCCGTGGGAGCTGGTGCCGTCGAGGGCTCCATCCGCTGGTGGTCCAGGGGCCACCGCTCGCACCACCGATACACGGACACGGACAAGGACCCCTACTCTGTCCGCAAGGGCCTGCTCTACTCGCATATGGGCTGGATGGTGATGAAGCAGAACCCCAAGCGCATCGGCCGCTGCGACATCAGCGACCTCAACGAGGACGCCATCGTCGTCTGGCAGCACCGCCACTACCTCAAGTGCGTCATCTTCATGGGCCTCGTCTTCCCCACCGTCTTCTGCGGCCTCCTCTTCGACGACTGGCTGGGCGGCTTCGTCTACGCCGGCATCCTGCGCATCTGCTTCGTCCAGCAGGCCACCTTCTGCGTCAACTCCCTCGCCCACTGGCTCGGCGACCAGCCCTTTGACGACCGCAACTCACCCCGCGACCACGTCATCACCGCGCTCGTCACCCTCGGCGAGGGCTACCACAACTTCCACCACGAGTTCCCCTCGGACTACCGAAACGCCATTGAGTGGTGGCAGTACGACCCGACCAAGTGGATGATTTGCCTCTGGAAGCTCACCGGCCTGGCCTACGACCTCAAGCAGTTCCGCGCCAACGAGATTGAAAAGGGCCGCGTCCAGCAGCTGCAGAAGAAGCTCGACCAGAAGCGCGCCACCCTCGACTGGGGCACCCCGCTCGAGCAGCTGCCCGTCGTCGACTGGGACGACTTTGTCGCCGACTCCAAGAATGGCAAGGCCCTCGTCGCCATTGCCGGCGTCATCCACGACGTCGGCGACTTCATCCGCGACCACCCCGGCGGCAAGGCCCTCATCAACTCGGCCATTGGCAAGGACGCCACGGCCATCTTCAACGGCGGCGTCTACAACCACTCCAACGCCGCCCACAACCTGCTGTCCACGATGCGCGTCGGCGTCCTGCGCGGCGGCTGCGAGGTGGAGATTTGGAAGCGCGCCCAGTTCGAGAACAAGGACGTCACGTACATTAACGACTCTGCCGGCCAGCGCATTGTGCGAGCCGGATCCCAGGTCACCAAGGTTGCCCAACCCGTTGCCAGCGCCGATGCCGCTTGAAGTGGTTGTGCATGAGTGTGTAGAGAGGGAAAAGCATGCAAAGACGAGACATGAAGGGTTGCGGGGTCCATATCAATCAGACAACGTTGCCTTTTCGTCTTGTTTTGAATGCGGAACAGACAGAAAATCATGAATTGGCGTTTTTGAGGGGATCATTTTGTTTTTGTTTTTTCAAAGGGGCCTTGCTGGATTGGAGAGGCTGGGTCAAAAAGGGGCGTTTTCACTTCACTTTCCTTTCTTTTACAAGCAGTATGAATGAAGAAGACTAGAGCATCATTCCGCACTCTTTTTTATATCAATCAAAGAGAGAGCAACCCACTCAATGCATATACAACTCATATATATATATTTACCATTCAAACATTGATATTGAATTGATAGTGAAGTGGCTCTTGGATTTGACATGTCTGCAAGATCCCTAATGGGTGATACTATACGCACATGTTTGTTATATTCAGTTCAAGCTACTATTACTATTCGCCTTAACTTGCCAAACAGTAATGGAAACCACAATCTTCATTCCCTGATGACCACCCACCTATACTCCCTAATAACCAAGAAGCAAGCAACTCATAACTCCCACAAAACTCCCCTCACCTCATCGTCCCCCCCGTCTATCACCACACACACACACACACACACAGCCCTCTTCCAACTAATCCGCGCCAATTCAAGGCGCCGCCATCCTCGTTTTCATCATGACCAACTCCGAACTCTTGGCCCACCGCCCATCCGGCGTCTGCCTATAACACAGCAGCCGCCCATCGTCCCCCGTGCTGCCCAGGATCTGCCCGTCGTCGTCAAAGCCCACACGCCACACGGGCGTCCGGTGGCTGTCGAGCCGCGAGACCTCCTGCGCCGTGTGCCGGATCTGGCCCGGCTGGCCGGTCCACGCGCGCTCGCCGACGTTGCTCGATTTCGCGAGGCTGGCGCTTAGTGTTGAGGAGGGGTGGTGGTGGTGTGGTGGGTGGTGGGTGGTGCTGCTGCTGCCGCCGTTGTTGTTATTATTGTGATTGTTGTTAGGGTTGTTATTGTTGTTGTTGTTTGAGCCTGGCGTGTCGTCGTCTTTGGATCCTGATCCTGATCCTCCACCACCACCACCACCACCACCTCCCGCTCCAAAGTCTCTATGCTGTGACCGGCTCAGCAAGTGCGTCGCAGACCAAGACCTCCCATCGCTCTCCGAAAAGGGCGTGTCCATCCGAAACACGCGCGCGTACCCGTCCTGGCATGCCGTGGCAATCATGTCATAGCCCCGAATGTTCCCCGGCGCCCACGCAACGTCCCTGACCAAGCCTCTATGCCCGGGGATCTCCACCGCAAGATAAAACTCCTTCTGCAGGGTATTCGCGCCAAAGTTGCTCGCCGCAATCTCCCTCGTGCGATACACCTTGACGGAGCCCATGGCCGCGACCACCAGCCCCAGCGAGTCCGTCGGCACGCCCGCCCGCAGCGCGGCATAGCACGGCTCCGGGTTCGGGTCGAAGCGCACCTTGAATGCGACCTCGTCGCCGCGGCTCGGCTTGCTGCACACGCTGAACTCGTCGATGAGCGCGTACTCGGCCAGGTTCTCGGGCTGGTCGTTTTCGTACACGGTCAGCCGGCCGTCGGTGGCCAGCAGCGCCAGGTACGTCTGCCGCGTCTCCTCGTTGTGCTTCATGGAAAAGGAGCGGTACGGCGCGCGGGCCGAGCGCGTGTCAAAGGCCGGGCGTCCGTTGACGGACCGCGCGGCGCAGAAGCGCCGGCCGGGCGCCGCGGACGGGTTCTCTGCCCAGAGGCGGAACCAGCCCTCGATGCCGAGCGAGGCGATGAGGTTGGGGTAGATTGTGGACGGGAGCCATTGGAGCTATTTTTTTTGCGTCAAAGAAAAAGGGGGCGAGTTAGCTCGGAGCTGGACATGGGTCGATGGATTTCTGTGTAGGTAGGAGAGGAGGACAAGCTGGAGAGAGGGATAGATGGGCAAAGAGGAGATGGACAAACCTCGACGACTTCGCCCCCATGCGCGCTCCACGTATCGCACAGCCTCCACGTCCCGTCGCGATGCCGGTTGAACACCCGGATCTTGCCGTCCACGGATCCCGTCGCGCAGCGGTCGCCGTAGGCGTTGAAGGCAATGGCCTGCACCAGGTCGCGGTGGCCGTGCTGCAGGTTGAGGTCAAACGACCTGTTTTCGTCGTCGGTCGGCGACTGCGGCAGCGAGCTCATTGTGCGTCTCTGCCTCCCGCCCTCTCTGTAGGACGTATATGCTATGACTGTGTTTCTACAGGCCCCTTGCGCGCATTCAATTATGAGGTTGAGGTTGGGGGTTTGAATATCGGGTTGACAGGTGTGGTGAAGCGGCGGAGTGAGGAGGAGTATGGAATGACTGCGTTTGTAGGGTAATTGATGCGTGAGATCAACTTAACAAATCTCAATTGTCCTCAAAAGATCGAGGTATTATCTGTCGTCGCAATCAATTGCACCCTTCAAGGCGTCAAGATATCAAAGTCGAGATGAGATCAAGTCCAAGTTTCATGTGAAGTTGATGAATACAGAACAGCAACAGCAACAGCATGAGCTGAGCTGAGCTAAGCCAAAGCCAAGCTCCTTCCCTCTCCAACCTTCAATTGGCGGGGCTCAACGAGAACAGGTACGTACCTCCTTTCGCAGCCGGTTTCTGGACGACAGCTGTGGCGCAGCAAGCAGTGGCTGTGATCCTGTTCTAGGTCCAGCCACGATAGGAAAGAAAAAAATTCATCAAAAGCTTCATAGTATCGATTCCGAGCCTCGTCTCAACATCCCTTACCATGGGAAGTGGATCACCACTTCAACCGGTTCCATGGTCTAACGGTTATGACTGCGGATTCTGATTCCGCCAGCGAGGGTTCGACTCCCTCTGGAACCTTTTTTTTGTGGCAACATTTCTTTTTCTTTGCAACTCGCATTGTCTTGAGAGTATAGGGTATGGTCAAAGGTGAGGAGGGTATCATGTATTGAAGGGTACAAATCAGAGAGCATTTCTTTTGTTTGCTCTCCCAAAGTCCGTCCTGACAAGAGAAAGAGTATAGTATATGGAGAATTTCAAGCCATGTGTTCGCCATTGCCCAAAGAGACGTGTACTATCCAGTAGAGAAGAGAATTCCTCGTGTTACCCTCGAACCTATTAACCAGATCATTCAATAATCCTTTCCATGCCGATACCCTTCAAACTCCGAAATTCCAGTAAATGTAAAAGAGAGATGAGAAATGACTGCAGGGTCGCTAAACGTTTCTAAGAACCCACAGAACCATGGGTATTCTTCCTGTAATGAGGGACCGATCGGTCTTCCCATGGTGCTCGCCACTTGCCCCATGAGGCCCTCTTCCAAGCAGAAGAGTCCCATTCATGTGATGATCAATTGGGGGGGGGGGATCCATAGTTGGAAGCTGTAACAAAATTCTGAAGATATAAGAACCATCAGTCGTCAGAGTCTGTCAGATATACTGCTGCTCTTGATGGCGGCCGGTGCGCGAGCTTCATCAGATGAGGCGTCGTAGGGACGGGCGTTTCCGCATCGGGCGTCGTTGCAACCGGCACCTCAACAATGGGCTTCCTCAATTCATACAGCTGCTGTCTCAGCTGTGGCCCGTCCCACAAGTCCTCGCGCCACGGCCAGCTCTTCATCATGCCAAACAGCTTCTCGCTCATCGAACGCGTGTAGCAGTGTGTCGCTGCTATGTAGAGCGTGGTGATGACTCCAAAATCCACATTGAACCAAGGCGATCCTCCCGCCAGCGTCGCCAGAAGAGCTTGCTTGATTGCGTCTGCGATCGAGGCCACTTCCTTGAACTTGTGCTCGTCCTCGTCGGGAGGCGTGTATGCCATGCCTAGGGGCAGAGGCATGGCGTCGAGCGCAATCGACGCAGCGCGGTGCCGGAGCAGACAGCCCATGTATTTCAAAAAGTCACGCGGAGCCGGTGCCCGCTCCATGTCCCCGTAAACGCTGTTCGCCTTATTCAGCAGCTCTCGGATATGATAGGACCGTTGCTGCAGCACGTCAACCTGGAATCGAGCAGCCCCATGGTCCCAAGCACTGTCGTCGCCCTTGTACTGTCTGCACATCCAGCTAAATGCATTGACATCTTGGAAGAAGTCGTCGACCGCCTCTTGCAGCTTCTCTAGCGACGTAAACTCCTTGGGCCCTCCGGCGTTGCTTTTCCTCGTCTCGTAGGCTTGGAGGGACAAGGACGGCGGCGAGTTGGTCCTCATGAAGGCTGCCGAACCTTCCCATCGGCGAAGCAGCTTCATCATGTAGACAGCCCTGGCGTGAGAATTGTCATGGTCGTGGCTGAATATCTCCGGATGGCGAAATATGTCCTCGACCTCGTCCGGGAGGTTCGACATCAGCCGGATGCCGTTGGCAAGGTGCATCATGGCGGTCGGCCAGTTCCCCCGCAGAATCTCAATGTAGAAGAACGAGACGCAGCAGATCATGATGATTCCATAGCGCTTTCTCATCGGTAGCCCGTTGAGCTCTTCGGCCATCCTGTTCAGCGACAGGTTGTACTGCCGGATGATGTAGCGCTCGCTGTTGGTCGGCGGGCCGAGGACGGTGACGTTAGACCCGGCCAGCCTAAAGTCGTGATAGGCTGAGCTGAGGGCAACAATGGCATGCCTCACAGCTTTAGAGGTGAAACAGTACTCTGGCACGACGTGGCCCCAGAAGAATGTGTTGTGGATGTGCGTGATGCCCACCAAATCTTCTGCCAGGGGTAGAAACTGGCGAATGTACTGACTCTCCACTACATCGCCGCTGAAGTTGGTCACCAGTGGCCGCAGCAATGTAAGGGACGACGCTGATGAGTGGATAGAAGAGGAAGAAGAAGAAGAGGACGAAAGCTGCTGAGAGAATCCCGGCTTTCTCGTGGCTTTCGGCTTCGTGGTAGCTTGGTAGCCATCGCACGTTCGGCCCGTTGAGATGCATCTCTGGCACGCCGGCTTCTGCTCGTCGCACTTTATTCTTCTGATTCTGTATTGAGACTGTCAGTATTCAGGGGGTCACAAATGGGGACGAGAGAAGAGATGTGCTCCGTCTCCAATTTCTCGTTTTTGGGTAGACGGGTCCAGCTCACTTGCTGTCTCATCGTGTCAGTTGCAAAGCTTCCATATTCGCCGCCAATGAGGCGCAACGTGGAGGGGCCTCTCAGCATCGCAGGCGAGGTTGCACAACATACCAAGTTACACAGCCCGTCCGAACCTTGGGCTTGCCGGCCCGCCGTCGCTTTTCCTTGGCCGGCTGAGCTTCCGACTCCTGTGGCGGCGTTATGGGTGTGACAAGGACAGGAACCTTCGCAGAGGGTTCTGAGGACGCCATGATGAATGCATTGGCTGGAAATACGAGGGTGCGTCGCGGCTCCGACTTGTAGATCCCGGCGCCGAAATCGATGTTGAGTAGGAGACGGCAGATGGACAATCTAGGCACGGCAGTTGTATATCATCCGGAGCACAAACGCGGTATAAAGGAGATGCGCCGAGGTACGACGAGGTCGATGCAAGGTAAGGGGACGAAGAGACAGGGCCCGCCGGAGCGGGAGCTGGATGGGAAAGCCTTTTGCTTTTGGCAAAGCTCGAGATGCCCCGGAACAGCGAGCTGTTGTATGGTTGCTTCCTATCGCGTTCCAGTCCAGACGCCGCCTGGTAATACGAAGTACGTGTTGGCCAAGACCAGAATGGCGGGAAGCAAAGAAGAATGAACCAGCGCCGTTGAATGGCAGTAGATGCTGACGAGCAGATCCAAGCAGTCAAGTGGGTTGTCCAACGGGGTTTCTAATGCTTCAAAAGCCCAACTCCTCCCCGTTGCCCGCTGCTCGCTCTTCGCGCCCAAGTACAGTAGGACCTGTCCAGGGAGTCAACGACCCGCGGGCCGGAATGCGGAGCCTGGTCAGACTAAGCAGAAAGAGAAACTGGGAGGAGGGCAAGGTAGTAAGGAAAATGAACCGGGGCAGAAGCGCAAGTAATCCTTCAAGGTTGTCCTTTGCAGGCGTCCGAGTTCCCCAGTTGCTGCGAGCTTGCAACGAGCAAGGATAGACGACTGCTATTCTATCGACTGACCTACCCTTCGGCTCGTCATGGAGATAGTATGAGCGTCGCCACTCCACGTCAAAAAGGAGGGACAGAGCAGAGACAGAGCGAATAAGACGGGTCGAGTCGTGCGCCGCTGAGGCTTTGGCTTTGGCCGTCGGCACTAGCCAGAGACAAGACCTGGGGCGTCGAATGGTTTCGCTTGACTGCTGGGGCCATTAGCCTGGGTGGGTGGTCAAGGTGGTCTTTGATCTCATCACCATCGGCTCTCGCTGGGCTTAGGACCGTGGAGGACTGGGACCTCAGCCTGGATGGGTTGCCAGCAGCTGTAATGCCCGGACAGGCACGCCTGCAGCCGGCAGAATTAGCTCGAGCAGCAGTTGTGGCACAGCGCCAACGGTTTGCTTTGCAGTGATTCCCCCTGCAGCTCGTCGCAGGAATACATAGGTGTACAGTAGGTAGCCAGCAGAAGACGTCCTGGTAATGGCTGCTTGGAGCACTGTTACAGTATGGACCCATACCTACTAAGACTTAACGATGCAACCCTCCCTCCCTGCTGCTTGGCTGCTTGTCGGATGCAGCCCTCCAGCTCTTGGGTCGTGGCAGCGGTAAATCTCGGGCCCCTCTCTGCCCTGTCATCCCACGAGTTGCCGATAAAAAGGGGGGAAACGGACCGGAGCTCGGGGCAGCAGGCGGTAGCTGTGGCTTGATCTGCCCGCAGTACCGAATTGATGGTACAGTGTGTGTCTCTGGCTTCGAGTCGATGAGGTTGGAGAAGATGAAATGAAATGAAGAAAAAAAGGGGGAAAAAGAAAAGAAAAGAAAGGCGGCCGATACCTTTTGGAGGGTAGAGGCAAGGCAGGAAGCGTCTTGGCACCTGCCGTGATCTTTTTCACAAGGTAATACTGCGTTACCTGGAACCTCCGCGTACAAGTACTAACGCTGTATTCCTCACCGTCTCGAAAGGGGGGATTTCATCCTCCAGATCAATCGGTGATGGTGCTTACGGACAACTTGAAAGTACATAATGCCTACCTAAGGTACAATACCGGCGCTGTACTCGTAGGGAGCAGGTGATACCTGCGCGGCGGTGGCCAAGTACTGCAGCTGCAGGTATCGCCAACTCACTGTGGAGGGCAAAAAGTACCTGCAAATAAGCCGCCCCCCCCCCATGTATCCATTCCAGCGAGTCGAGGTATTATTTAGGGAACGCTTAGCATAACACCATCCAGGCTTATCAAGACACTAAAAAAACAGGTCTTATAGCTTAGCTGGTCAGAACGCCAATTCCGGCTTTTACATACTAAATTAGCTATAAAGAAGAGACTTAAATTTCTATTAAAAAAATAAAGACTATCTAGATAGCTTAATTATTAAAATTACTATTAGAAATAAAGCTAAAAATCCTA